CACAAAATAGGAGATAAAGTGTGTTTCACATAAATGGGGGGAGATTTTTGTATATATATATATATTTTTCTTTTTCGCACATAAGTGTGTATGTGTGGGATTTATGTGAGAGACAAAAAAAAGGGGTGTCTCTCTCTTAATTAAGAGCCCCTGTCACGGGTTTTTTTGTGAGTCCCCCCCCATTTATATATATACACGTATATTCTTACATATATGGGAAAATATGTCTATCCCCCCTCATCTCACAAGTGTGGTTACACCCACATATATCTCTCATTTTTATGATATATACAAAAAAAATATATATATATAAAATATATATTTATCTCCATTATACCCCCAATTTTTTTATATATATCATATGGTGTATATATATATATATATATATATATATATATATATATATATATATATATATATATATATATATATATATATTGTATACACAATTTTGTAAAGTGAAATTAATCACAACAATACGACTAAATGTATATATAAACCGACAATGAATTTAATACACAATATTATATACACAATAATGAAAGGTGTCTCTCTCTCACACATCTGCATATTATCAAGATTCATTCTTCATCTTCATCCATTTTAACTCTACTTTCTCTCTCCCTCTCTTTCACGCACAGACATACATTATAATGACAATTCTTTCACTAATTCCATTCTTGACAATCTCCATATTAATCCAATTGGCGGACTCAACAATGCATGAAACATACACAATCACCGAAGCTCAGTTATAATGATAAATTTATATGATAAATAGTGATTTTTTTAAATCGAAATTGTTAATTACATAATAATTTTCGTTAATTACAAAGTGGTTTTTATTAATTACAGAGTGGTTTTTGTTAATTGATAAGTTTATAGTGAATTTTTGTAAATGGAATCCGTTAATTAGTGATTTTCATTACATAGTGGTTTTCATAAATTACAGAGTGATTTTTATTAATTATAGAGTGGTTTTCGTTAATCGATAAATTTTTAGTGAATTTTTGTAATGGAACTTGTTAATTATGTAGTGATTTTCGTTAATTACAGAGTGATTTTCATTAATTATAGAGTGGTTTTTGTTAATTACATAGAGGTTTTTGATAAATTCATAATGAATTTTCCTAACAAAAAACTATAATCACATAGTGGACAATTTTTTTTTTAAATTTAACTTAATGTGAAAAAAAAAACAAAAAAAAAGGCCAATTAATTAATGGAATGAGAAAGAGGCGTGATATGGGAGAGAATAGGGGGTGTGGAGGAGAAAATATGGGGATTTGCATATATACCAAATAAAATAATGGATTTTTCAAAATAATATATTATGGTAATTTTCAATAATATTAAATAGGGGCATTTTGGATAATTCGAATCAATTGGATTTATAACAAATATCAATAAAAAAAGTTGGATTTATCAAGAAGTAAATATTGAATAAGGGGTGTTTGTCATATAACCCCTACAAATAAAGATAAGGGTTATGATAATTGAAAATAAATTAATTTTGCCCGCAGTAAATATACTGCATTTTATTTATTACTCCAAGTAAGTAGTAGGAGTAACAAAGGGTAAATTCTAGAACGTATCCAAATTAATCTCAAGTAACAGTCCGTCAATTAGGGTTAGGGTTAGCAGGCGTTAGTAACTGTGAATTAGGGTTGATTCAAGCATTAAATAGGCCCTGCTTTACAGCTACCAACCCACCCACCCACCCCATAAAAAATTAATTAAAGCTGAAAAAAACAAAAATGCGTACACCACCCAAAAACCGCCGTCCTCGTGCCGCCGATTCAACGAGTTCAGTAGAGCGCTCCGTGCTCCAGTGGACGAAGGGGATTCGTCAGATTCGTCGCCAGACAAGAAGATGCGTGTGGTTGCTCAAAAGCTGTGCGAACTACAGACCATCCGTATTAACAACCTCAGGGATATTGCTGCTATTGTGGAGCTGAAAACCAACCATGGTTTTCGTGGTAAGACAGAGATCGTGAAGAAGAATCCCATGTTTGAAAGTCTGATGGTGGAAGCGATGAACGCTGGTTTGGATGAGCCTGATATTTTGGATTGATTGAGTTTTTTATTGTGGGAAATTAACTGACCTTCTACCATTCAAATTTGGATATGAAGCATTTACATAATATAGCATGTTCTCACCACGTTGAGGATCTTAATTTATCGAGTATGAATTTATCGAGGTTCTAATGTTTTGATTCGAGACTTTTGAGAAACCAATCCAATAAATAAATTGTGATTCGACTTTTGAGAAACCAATCCAATAGATCGATTGTGATTTCGAACCGAATCAGGATGCATGCTGTAATTCTCTCGATCACGTACTACCAATAGCATGAGAAAGGAAGCCCAAGAACTGCAAATCATCCTATCCTGATCAAACATCCAACGACATTCGGTAGCGGATGGTTTTCTTGGAAACATCATCGTTACCATGGGACAGGATGGTATTTCAGCGTTAGTCCTTAAGATGATATTCGGCTTCTTCCCGAGACTCCAAAACGGGAAGAATAAACTCAAAAGGGAAGTAACAACCCCTTAAAATCGTAACAGCAATGATCAATTCCTCGTTGGAGAAATAAAAACCTCTCTCTACAATTGGGACGGATTATATGGAAAATGGAAATTCCGATTCCCTCGTAGTAATAGATGACCAGTTTCATCAACGAAAATGCAATCTCCCCTTCTCTGCCAAGGCCAAAATGGAATTCAGGAAAAAAAACCAACTTGATGGAATCCATCTACTAAATCAACCCTTTTGAAGCCTTAATATTTAAACGTGTTTTTTTTTGTTCGATAAAAAAAAAAAAAAAAAAACAGTAATCATCAAAATTGATTTCCAACTACTTTTACATGTTCAACATAATTAATATAATGTTTCTGTTCCCAAAAAAAAAAAAAGAGAAAAAAAATTATTCTTGAGAAAAATTTAATGTTACAACAACCAAGTGTTTTTGCATCCAAGGATTTGTATTTGAGGAGGGGATTTCATATTACGGATTTGAAATCCTTCCCTCAAATCCTTCAGTTCGAATGCAATCAATCTAAGATAACTTACTGTTTGCAGTTTAAACTTAAAACTCATAAATACGATATTAAAGAAAAACCAATTCAACGTGGTGAGGTACTTTTGGTTCCAGCTGTCGCTTTGCGTTATTCCTCGCAGTTCGTTCCACGTCATATTTGTCGGTTATAGGGGACCGTGCACTGGAGGAATCGATTATTATTTTCTCAAGCACAACGCAATTCTCCAAAATGTAGCCGAGCAATTCAGCGTCACTTGAACGACCATAATAACCGGAAAACTTGAACACTTTAAGGTTATGGTGAGGACACCTCATAGGATCCGTCACTTCTCTGTTTTTCCTTGCAAGTTTATACCATCCATACTGCGCGCGCACAAGTGGAGAATCGAATTAAAAATAAATACAAAAAATAATCGAAAAAAAATAAGTAACAATAAAGATGCCTACATTTAATACAAATTCCTCCAAGAAAGGAGATGCCCTCATCAACGCAGTCAGCCAAACAAGATTCTCGTGACCTCTTGCCGAATAATTTATGACCAACTTCTTCAGTTTCGGCATTTCTGTGAACTTGCATAGCCCAACTGGTTCCTCATAAACGTACTGCAAGGAAGGAGCAAACGATACTACGTATTATGTATATAAATTTAAAAAAAATTATACAAAAAAAAAAAAAAAAAAAAACTACGATTTTCGTCTAACCCTTCTCTTGTACATGATCAAGCTAAGAATCTCCAACTGCGAAATGCAGCAAGACAGCGTAGAAAGTAAACTTTTGACGGACTCATCGCAGTCACCACAATTAATAGACACATCAACTAGCATTGGAACGGAGTCGAGCACGAGTCCCTCTGCTCTCGTAACCCTAAGTGAAGTAAGATTTGGCGCGGAAATTCTAAGTGATTTCAAACCCGTGCAATAGACAATTTCCAAGTGTTTTAACCTGAGGGATGGACCACACACTTGAACAATTGATATTTTATTCGTTAGACGGACAACCAATCGTTCGAGTAGGGGGCAATTATTTAAAAAGGACTCGATAACTCCATCGGACAAATGAACGGAGTTAAAAGACAATTCTTTGAGGGACTTAAAAGAAAATTTAGGTGCGCTTAGGGGAAGGAGCTCGTCGGGGAAACAATAGTATTTGGACCAACTGGAATATTTCCCGAGGTCCAATACCAACCTCTGAACTTGTCTGGAAAATGCGAATTCGAGCCACCGGGAGATTGAATTCTTGAATGCTGTGTCTAAACTAAAATGGATTGCGAATTCTTTTAAGGTGGGCGATCTGTGCGATTTGACTACAGAGTCGACCCATTTTACGTACTTGAGTGCCTCGCTCTCGAGCAACTCGGTCTGTTTATCGATCTTTTCAAACGCGGTTCGAGCGTCGAAATCGAGGGTGGGGGTGTGTTTCCACAAGTTTACCCAACGGGATGAAAGAACACTCGTGCGAGCGGCTTCTTTTAGCGAGAGGAGAGAGAGTATATCGACGAGGATGTCATTCGGCAACTGACTTATCAGATCGTTGTTGCCTGAGCATCTTTTAGCACACTGCCATTAGTCAAACAAGATAACAAACAATGCATCAGAAGTCAGAACTAACATCAATTAGCAATTGCTTCCTATCCAATAAAAATTGAATCTTTGGACAACAGCAACAACAACAACAACAACAACAACAACAACAACAACAACAACAAAAATATATTATTTCAAATTAGGTTATCTAAAGCAAGGAATATTCCTAGGTTGTATCAGCAACTAACTGTAAGTTAACTTACAATATAAATTAAAATTAAAATCAAAGGGCAGAAGCTTTGTTGAAATCTTACCTTCTTGGGTTGAATATCACAATCAATGTCGACACGCCGCTTCATATCAATTAAGCTTTGGACAAAAGCCTTTCAAAAAAAAGAAAAGAAAAATAAAATACATATATACATATATATACAAATATATGTATGTATATATAATACCAGAGTAAGAAGAATTCCTAGGTTGTATCAATCACCTATAGATTAAATTAAAGGCGGAAGCTTTATTGAAATTTGATCTTCTTCTTGGGTTGAAAATTTCGAATCACTTCGATATATCTTCCAATCCATAAAGCTTCAATCTTTGGACAAAAACCAAATCAATTGACAAAAGTGTAAAAAAAACAAAAAAAGATAAAAAAAAATCTGTTTGGGCCGAATCGGAAAAATCTGGCTGAGCCCAAAAGTTGATTAGTTTCAATTAGTGATTGACAAATTGATTTGGCCCAAACATATTAATTCCTAAGTTGGCCATTCATTTAATCGGCCAACCGACCCACTTTCGACCCGTTTCTGTAGGCCCATAATTTTGATTTACACCATTTATCATTTATGTTATTCGTGTTGGTTTCGATTTACGTTTGTTCATTCATTTTAATTTCTTAATAGTTACTCGTAAAACTTATAAATTATTAAAAAAAACGTGTTTATATGGTAGCGAGTTTCGACCCGTAAAAGTTTGGTCCTGGTCCAACTATAAACCCACCATGGATTGCACACGTGGATTAATCATTACATAATGAGACATTTGAGTATCATTTACACACCTAATTATTCACCATAAAAACTCAAAATAATTTCTTTTCCAAAATCACAAATTAAAAAAAAAAAAAAATTCCACAAAAATCATTTCTCCCAAAGAACCTGTTCATCAATCTTGCTCATGAATTCATCATCGAGTCGTTTCCACGTCTTAATCCTTCTAACTCCGCCCCACGAATTCTTCCCTTTCTCAAGTTCCGCCAAAACAACTCTACTCCTCCTATGCCAGCCGGCAACCCCGTAACCGTGATATCCAAAACCGCCCCCGTAACAAAACCACACCCCCTTAAGGGCCCCACAGAAGTCGTTCGTGTGATCGTGCCCTATAAAAACGGCCTTCACATCTCCCATCGAGACTAGGGTTTCTAGAACACCGGACTTCACTAACGAACACGCCACGTATTCTCGATAAGTGCCCACCATATTGTAAATGGGCCCCTCCTTGATTTCGGGAATCGGAATGTGGAAGAATGCCAACGAAGGAATCTCGGTTGGATACGGATTTGTGACCTGTTTGGTTGCCAAGATAGGATTGGATTAGTTACTAGTAAGGCCTTGCTTGGGAACAAGGATCGTAAAATGTACAATCGAGATGTATCGGATGTTTGGGATTTAGGTTTCGAGCCCGTGATTGAAAACGGGCCCAAAATCTAACCAAGCAATATGAATGATATATTACTTTTTTTTTCCCATATTAAGTGTCACTTTAGAGTTTCAACGCATAATTAATTATTTTTTCCAACTTTACCCCCACAATAACGAAATGAGAAAGAAATGACGAAAATCCACGAAAAAGCCATAAAGGGGTAATTTGGTTAAATAAGGACTAAAGAATTAATTAAAATTATGCATACACGCCTCACCCGATTTTTTTCAGAAACACGACGAAGCCAATTGAGTTGCGATTCTTTAATCCAGTCATAAGTTCGAACCCCGTCAACAACGGCTCTATCTCCACTGTCAAGAAAATAAAAATTCAGCACACTGCTATTGGCAAAACCGGAACCAGGCGGGCCCACCACTCTCAGATTATAGTTTCCGAACCCGTCGATTTTCGGCACTTGTTTTTTTCGTCCGTCAGGATTTGATGTGTCTTCTTCGACCGTTGGGAATGTCTGTGACAAAGAAAAATCCATGAGGGAGATGAACGCCATTAGCTCTTCACGAGTCATAGTTGATTCTTGATCGTGGTTTCCTAGTACAGCTGCCCAAGGAATTCCCGATTTTATAACCGGGCCGAAAGCTTGGAATAGCGATTCCGCTGCATCGGTTGCACTCGAACCGAAAATGTTATCCCCTGCATCGAAAAAAAACACAAATATGTATATATTGTTAAACCTCTATAAATTAATACAGTCGGGGTTATGGAAATTCTATTAATTTAGCGAATTATTAAATTATCATGTTAATAATATAACACGTTCTCACCGAGTCGGGACCAAGAGAAACTATTATTTAAGCGAGGTTATTAATTTATCGAGGTTCTACTGTATATGACAAAGAAGAACTAATTACACATGAGATTGAAAAATTTAAACTGTGTGTGTGTGTGTGTGTTAAATAACATCAAATATCAAGAATTCATCAAATTATAAGCATGTAATAAATGCTAATCCAAGAAAGTACTATTGAAAAAGGAAGTTACATTAATGATAGATACATTGAAAGAAGATAGATACACATACCATATATATATAAACCCAAAGTAATTAAGGATGTTAGTTAATTAAAGTACCAGTAAAAGCAACAAAATCAGGGTTTTCGAGCTGGATCATCTTCTCAAGAAACCGAGTCGTGTTCGAGTCGGAACAGTGAGGAAACTCGCTGTCCAACACGTCCCTGCACCGAGTCAACTCCCCGTTCCCCAAATGCATATCTGCAACCTAAAATCAAAAACCCATCACCACAATAATCATAATTTACACAACAAAAAAAACCCAGAAAAAAAAAAAGAATCAAGTTTGTTGATAATTTGAGATTTATTTACCTGGAGGATTTTGAAAGTACCGTCGGCGCGGAATTGAAGAGGGGCGGGTGAAAGTTTCTTGATTCTGGCATTTTGATGGTTAACTCCGAGTTTGGGAGAGATCAAGAGTGTGTGAAGAAGGTGTACGGAAATGGAAATTAGGGCAAGGTAAAGAAAAGAGTGGATCCATGTAAGCTTGTTGCTCGGATCCATTTTCGCAGGTTTCCCTCTTCTTCATTTTCTTACCATTTTTATTTTTTTATTTCCATTTGTTTTTGTTTGTTAATTTTTTTTTTTTTTTAATTATTTGACTAAGTATGTTGTATTAAGGGCTATAGAGTTGAGTTTTTAGCAGATTGGACCAAATTGTTGGATTTCATTTGGGCCATTTGCTTTAATATTTGATCATCTAGTACAAATGTTCTTTTGTTTTTAGGTTTTGTAATATAAAATAAATGAAATACTTCAAAATTATGATAGTAATGAGTCGGAGTGTAAATGAGCTGAGCCGGCTCATGAGCTCGATAAGCTGCTGGCTCGAAAAAAGCTCGAGCTCAAGTTCCCATTTTTCGAACTCGAGCTCGAGTTTATCAGCCGGCTCATGAAAGCTCGATAAGCTGGATCTCGAGCTCGAGCTCGGCTCATCTACACCATAGTAATGAGGTGTTCAATAAAGGAGAAGTATACGTAGGATGATCTCACTTTCCTAAGTTGATTTAGAATTTGTTCTATGGTCGTCTTTTAAAGATACCATTTTTTGATTAGTGTAAGACCGATTATATTTTCAGGGGATAGTAAATTTTATAACCAAATCATACGATTTGGTAGACAATTTCAATCAACTGATCTATAATGGGTCGATTGATGGTTTCTAATATAATCAAAAGTCAGAGAGTTACATATCAACCAACCATAATAATAAAATTTTATTAAAATTAATTTAAATGCTAATAAAATTCCACTAGTGTGAAACTGGAATTTAGGAAGTGAACAAAAGAGAGGGCAAAAAAAGTTGGTGGAGGCCAAGTTACGCGTCGCCATAAACTCTATCACCAACACCACACAATAGTCAATCCATACCAATATTAAATAAAATACGAACAACACGTGTCTTAATTCCGATTTCCACGCGACAAAAACGGAATCTTTATTTCAAATTAGCAAATTGGAATTAAATAATTAAACAAAAGATAAATGTTTACTCTACATACATTTTCTTTTTTGTTTTATTTGCCGCAAGTGTTTTTTTTTTTTTTTTTTTTTTCTACTTGTATGAAATAGAATATTATACAATTTTATTTTTGTTTAGACATTTTCTTGAAATGGATTGGAATCAGTTTTTCACCTTTTTTTTTTCTTTTTGAAAACGCAATTTTTTATCCGATTCAATCGACTTTCACGCCGAGCTTTACTTATCCCTTATTTATTTAATTTATAATTAATATTATAAAATAAAAGTACCACATTTGACACCTTTGTTATACTTAGATGGATGCATGTCAATCCTAGTGGAATAAAATTAGATGTACCACTATATATCTACCCTACAAAAAGAAAATCATATTGTACTTTATTCACTTATTTGAATTTAAATGGTTGTATACTTGTATTAGTATAACCACCTAATTATATAAAATAACAATATATTTAGTCTCCGAATCCATATTCCAATAAAATAAAACGGAATAATTCATCGTTCACCCTTCCATATAAATTAAATATTCAACCACGCACATTTTTAAATTGGACTAAACTGCAGCATTTGATATCTTTCACGTTATCGTTAAACTATTTTTTCTTATAAGTTTTTCCCTCAATTCAGAGTGCCTATTTAACTAAACTTATGAGCTGTAACTCATAAGACATTAAAGAGCTTATAAGTTATTAAAATGTGTTTGGTCATTTTTAAGCTGTTAGAGAGTTTTTTAAACTGTTTTTAAAAAAGTAATTTCATCCCACATATTTTAAATAAAGTCATATTTGTTTATTTCCAAGAACATTTATAAATAATATTACCCTCAACTAACTTATAATAACATTTAATTTTTTTTTTAAGGTGGGTGTCTTTTCATGTTTCCCATATATCAATTTTAATAGGGGCAATATGCCAAACACCCTTCATTGGGAATTTAATTCTTGATAAATCCTTTTTTTATAAATGATATTTGAGATAAATCCAATGGGTCTGAAAAACCATATATGCCCCCACTAACTATTAATTAGTATAATAATTTAATTTAAAAAAAATTACACCCATAATCTACACCCAAATCTTCTCCTAAAATTATTCCCCTCATCACGTTAATTCAGTTATTTTTTTCCCTTTTCTTTTTTATTTTGTTTAATGGTTTTCTTTATTTCCATTTAAAATAAAATTTTGTAATTATATTATTATTTTTTTTTCGGTTGTTTAGTTTAAATTATTTTTTTTCTTATTTATATTTTTCATGTTTTTTATTTTAATTTAAAAAATGGTTTTATTTTTATTTTTCGTTTTTTCATATTTTTTTTTTATTTCAAATTTTTTTAAAAATCGGTTTTTTTATGTTCTTTTCAGTTTTTTTAAATAAAAACTACTCTATATAAACATGAAAACCACTCTATAAACATGAAAACCACTCTGTATAACAACTATGTTAACTTGAAAACCACTCTTTATAATAACTATGTCAACTTAAAAACCACTGTGTATATACAGTTAAATAAAAATTTGTACAAAAATTATTGAAAACCACTATAAAAATGTTGAAAACCACTATAAATTTATCAAAAACAAAGCCTGACGTTATGAAAACTACTCCGTATAAACAACTATATAAACATGAAAACCACTTGATATAAAACAATTATATAAACATGAAAACCACATTATATACACAACTATATAAACATCGAAAATCACTATCAATTCTAACAAGAAAACATCAAAAATTCTGCGAAAAAGAAGCTATAAAACCACTATAAAGGACACCATCTTCTCTCGAATGAACCCTAGAGCATAGTCTGTGTAATCATCTTCTTCTCGTTATTTGAAACGTAAACCACTATTTGAAAAAATCATCATCTTCTTCCGCCCATCAGCAATTTCGTCAAAAAAAATATCATCAAGAACAAAAACATTACCAAATTTAAAAGAACAAAAATTCAACCTTATATCATCACTTTCTCTTATCGGTTTACCGATCTCCATTTTCTGGCTTATAACAATATCAATTTTCCTGAATGAGAATTCAAAACAATAACAACAATAATGACGATCAATCATCGGATAATTAAACTCGAGAAGCTAGCAAAAGCGTGTCGTAACAAAAGTCTGAGAATTTTCAATTAAAGGAGTATTTAAATTCAAGCAAATCAAAATTACTAGACCAAACATAAGATAGATGCGAATTATGCCATTACTTGCAAATACATATAATTATATTATCAATATATATAATTATATATATTGAGTAATTAATAATTATATAATTACCGTTCCTGCACCACATGATCCAAATACATATAATTATATTATCAATATAATTAGTTTAATTAAATTGAGTAATTAATAATAATTACCGTAAGCAACAAAGAGTACGGTGTCGGCATCCCAATGATTAGGCACGATGAAATTCGCCGCGGATGTGGCGGCCGGCAGCGGCGGGGAGGAGGAGTGGCGGACGGAGATGTTGAGGAGGATCGGCTGCGGAGATATTTCCGCTGCGATGAGGATTTCTTGACCAATGATTGCAGGGTTCGTAATTAATTGCGATATAATAGGAAAAGATATTACAAATCTTTTTTAATTTTTTTTATTTCCAATCATAAAATAGACGTTACCTTTAGGTTAGGGGTAAAATAGTGATAATTTATTATTTTTTATTAATTAATGCTGAAATGGATTTATCTCAAATAGTTCTAAAAAAATTGGATCTATTGTAATTAGCCTTGTGTAATGGGGGGCTTTTGACAAATAATCCCATTTTAATAATTCAAAGAAGATATAAAAGCAGATCCCTTATATATATATATATATATAAGTGCTTACATAAGCAGATTAATTTTAGCTTATTTAATTTCATCATAATTAATTAATTAAAGTAAGTAAACCATCGCTTCAATAATATCAACGGCCTGGATCTATTCTCAATTTCTCATAATTAAATAATGCCCCCTCTTCGCAACAAAATTAACCACATACCCCAATTCCCGCGTCGTATTATAAATTATTAATTATTATTCGTCCCCATACTCTATATAAATAGTAATTCCCCCACAAAAGTATTAATGTAGATAGATGCTCACTCCAAACATCATATTCCCAACACAGTAGTTCTCCTCCAAGAAAAGCATCTCTCTCTCTCTCTCTCTCTCTCTCTCTCTCTCTCTCTCTCTCTCTCTCTCTCTCTAAAAAAAACACACAGACACACAGTAAAAGAAATGGAGATGTTGGAGAACATTGGAGATGAATACAAGAACTATTGGGAAACAAATATGTTTCTTCAGTCCGAGGAACTTGATGCCTACTCTCACAGGTTTTTTTTTTTTTTTTTTTAATTTGAGATATGAAATTAATTGAAATAAATAATAATGGGAATAAAATTATAAATATATGTTGATGAAAATAATATATTGCAGTTATATAGAGGAGGCGATATCCGGTGGATATTACGACTCGAGCTCGCCGGATGGAACGACGCAGTCGAAAAACATAGTCTCCGAAAGAAACAGAAGAAAAAAACTCAATCAAAGACTCTATGCACTTAGATCAGTTGTCCCTAATATCACCAAGGTAATTTAATTAATTTTTTAACTACTTAATTCATTAATTAATTATGTAAGTTATAAGTAAGTACAATTACTAATGTTTTTTTTTTTTTTTGTCTATGCTTAATAAATAAATTAATTATTTAATTATTACACACACCCCCACCACTCTCATGTATTATTGTCATAGGCCCATACATAGCATTGATTTATCTTTTTTTTTTTTTTTTTTGTGTGTGTCAATTTTTTTTTCATCAATAGTGTTTTCAATTTGAATTAATTAACCATGTGCAACACTTAAAACTATATTAATATTCTTCAATTACATTAATTATGTTGTAGATGGACAAAGCATCAATAATAAAAGATGCAATTGAGTACATAAAAACGCTGCAAGAACAAGAAAAACGAATGCAGGCGGAAATATCGGAGTTGGAATCAGGGAGACCATCGAATACATTTATAAATTACGACAAACACGACGAAGCCGAAGCGACGGCATTAATTTGTTCTAAGGCAAAGAGAACAAGAAGAGTATTGGATGATGATTGTGCATGGAATAATCATAATAATAATTATAATAATAATAATAATAATAATAATAATAATAATAATAATAATAATAATAATAATAATAATAATAATAATAATAATAATAATAATAATAATAATAATAATAATAATAATAATAATAATAATAATAATAATAATAATAATAATAATAATAATAATAATAATAATAATAATAATGTAATTATCATGCCACGGTCTCCTATCGAAGTTCTTGAGGTCGGGTTTTTTCTTTTTTTTTTTAATTAATTATTTTTAATTAATTGATTATATATTTATTTTATTCAATTTGAAGAAATTAAAAAAAAAAATTGCAGTTAAGGGTATCAAGCATGGGAGAGAAAACAATAGTGGTAAGCATAACATGCAGTAAAAGAAGAGATACAATGGTGAAGTTGTGTGAGGTTTTTGAATCTATGAACCTCAAAATTATAACTGCAAATATCACTGCTTTTTCTGGAAGACTTTTGAAGACTGTTTTTCTTGAGGTAACTCTCTCTCTCTCTCTCTCTCTCTAGATAATCTCTCTCTAGATCTCTGTTTCAAAATTAGGTTACTGATTGGCTGACTTAGTGAAAGAGATCTGCATTTCATAATCTTGAATATCTAATTAATAATTTATTTAAGATATGTTTAAATGATTTAATAAATATTTAGTGTGGGCACCGACCGTACCACGTGTTAATTAGTCTACTTGGTTCATTATTTTTTTATTTTTTTATTTCCTTGAAAACTTCACTAAATGACGAAAATCTGAAAGAGACGTGAAATTATTTGGAGACAGATTTGCTGAAATTAAATTAAAATATACTTTTTTTCAGAAAAGGAAAAATAATTAAATAAAAGTAAATTAATAATATTTAAAAGTTCATTAAACGTGGGGGTGGGGTGGGGTAGGTCGTGAGGTTATGATTAAATGTATGATTTTCTTTTCCCTTTTACACCTTTCACTTTTCCTTTAATCAATACAATGGAATAACTAAAAGTAATTTATCCTTCCGTCTCTAATTAATTGTCGTTTTTTCAGTTTTGCACAAGTATTAAGAATGTGTCTTGATTAGGAAAAACACATTAAAAAGACTAAAATAACCTTAATCATTTAGTGATGCGATAAGAGAGAGAGTTAATACTTAGAATTGAATTAATAAGGTTAAAACATAGGAAAAAAAATAGTCGTATTGAAAATGTAAAGTGACAAATAATATGAAACAAAAATATTCTTAAAAATAGACAATTATAAAGAAACAGGTGGAGAAATTAATTATTAAATAGTGAATAATAATATATTTTTTGATTATTTGTATATGGTCAGAGCATCAATGTCAAGTGTCAACTCTTATTATTTAAAAAAAATGCCAAGTTTCAACTAGTTATTTTAAAATCATATATATATATATATATATATATATGTGTGTGTGTGTGTGTGTGTATGTATTATGGTTTTCTAACGTATGGACCCAAATAGTTTGGAGAAATCAATTATATGAACAACTAGGTCAAAAAAATTATTTGGACAAATGTATATAACTTTTTTGGACAAACATTTGGCGTATAGCTTAAGTACTTGTCAACATCTATGAAAAAATAATTTAATTTGTATAAACTACTAAGTAAAAAATCAATTAACAGATTTCTCTGGTCCACTCAGATCGGAATACATCATCAATATTTATTTATTTATTAATTATTAAGTTATTTCTTAATCTTTCAGGCAGATGAAGAGGAGAAAGAAGTACTAAGATCAAAGATAGAAGCTGCCATAGCAGCTCTGAATAATCCAGACAGCCCCATGAGCATATAATCACCTCACTTCAATAAGAAGATCTTTTCTCTTATATTTCACCTTTTTGTGTGTGTATGTGTGTTTTTTTTTCTTGAAGTGATTAATTAGCCTGCATAATATAGGTTTAGCTTGTTTAGAAGATTTTCCCCTAATAAATGGAGCAATTTCTTCTCAATTAATTACCCTTTTTTTGTCTAATTACTCCAACACTTGGTTATTTAATTTACTAATTGATTAAACATCGTACACACAAAAGTCGAACACTCGTAATTATAAACCGTACGAGTCAAGCAATCTTACCAATCCTTGAGCAGTTCATTAGCAACATCCTTGTAGCTCACTTTCCTTTTCTTCACGGGTTGCGTTTCACCGTCTAAAAGTACCTTCTCCTCTTCGCGGGTCGGGTTAGGGTCGCCCGTTTTAACCTCTAGAGGGGCAGTAATTGAATCACTCTCAGCTTTCTTTGTAGCAAGGATTGGCAACATATTGAATAACATGGCTTGAACTGGATCAACAGCATCTTCAATCCGATCACTGTAGTGGGTCCCGCTCTCTTGTCCGGAGGATCCAACTTCCTTAATTCCATCAAACCTTTGTCCAAATTTACTATGTTCTTCAACAATTGGTTCAACTGCTTTGCCTCTTTCCGTTGCATAATCTTCAACTTCCTCCTGTTTTTGAAATCCGGGAAGGAACAAGTTTGCAATTTCAGAACACTGTGTTTGCTTCTCTGAAAAAGCACGACTATCTAATTCATTTTCGACAATCTCAGATGGTTTGGTTTTAATCTGAGCCCTTTCTTCAGGTTTATTAAAATCTGATTTTGCTTTAATTTCTACAATCTCAGTGGAGTCTTTCTTCTCCTCCGAAGAAACATCTTTATCCGATTCACTTTCATGGATCTTAGCAGGTTTGTTTCCAGCTCGTGGCCTTGTTCTTCGGGGCTTGTTAACAACTGATTTTCCCTTTTTTGTACTCGCTCCAATAGGTCTTCCTCTTTTCTTCTTGTTGTCTGTATTTGGCAAGCTGACAATTCTTGGCTTGTCTGATGTACCCTCGTCTTTTTTTCCAGCTTTGCGAGAAGATGAAGCATCGTCCAGCCTTTCTTCCAAGCTATGACATTCTTCTATATTGAAATTGGGGTCACTACTGAAATAATAACAGCCGAGACAAATATTTGAGAGAAATTTATACACCAGAAGTATATCTGTTAAAGTGAGTGAGAAATTCAGTGAATCGCTTACATACAACACCAAACACCCTACAATTAGGAGGTCGCAAATTTCTCGAATTTTTACGAGAGAACTTACCCATCTCCAGTTAAGGTCTCTTGAAAATCCGGAGGCTTCAAACTGTAACTGTCCTCTGGCAACCTCTGGTCCTTCTCAAAGCAGTCGTCTAACCACTGAGACTTGACAATTTGCAAGCTTCTCCTGTGCAAAAGGCGCTTCTCCAGCTCCGATAAACTGTCAACAGAAATAAGTAACAATTTTCCAATTGTTTAAAACTACATCAATAAATGTAAATTGCAGGCAAAAAAAAATTTTATAGAAATATTTTTCTGAGAAAATTAATCTCTACAGCCAGATTAAATGAATGAGAAACTATTGCTTACCTTTTCAGTAGTGTATCAAAGTCGACATCTATTTGAGTACTACAAACAATTACTAAATGAGTAGCATGAGCAATTGTCTCAGCTACATAGCCGCCGCCCATGCAAATTTCGATCTTCATCCTTCTCATTGCAAGTCCAAATGGAATTTCCAAGCTCTTGTGTTTTCTAAAAACAACCGATCAGAAAATCAAATCTCAAGTCTCAATGTACCCACTCCTGGTAGATAAACTTGGTTTCTAATCAAATCAAGAAACACGATGATCTTACAGAATTTGCCTAGGAAAGTGGAAGTAAATGCGACAACCGTGAAAGCGAACCCATTCCTCCCTTGGGCAGAATTTTTTCTTGTAGTACTCTTTTGCTTTAGAATCATCAACCTTGTCAACATTACTTAAAATCTGAAAAACAACAGAAAACCAAAACAGAAAATGAAGATAAAATATTGGCTTGATCAAGGCACACTCACGCACTAAATTTCAATTTTCGATTTTCCCCTGTAGCAGTAGCAGCCAACCTTCTCACATGGGTTAATAAGGAGTAAATACAACATGGTATTAACCACTTTACCTGTTTGAGGTCTGCCACATTAAGATCCATATAGTAGGAGTCTGAGAATTCATCAATTTCTTCTTCTAGCTTCTTCTTCGATTCATCGGAGAGGTAAAGGAAGTGCCTTTACAGTAGACAAAAGAACAAAACGATAGATACAATATCTCAAGGTCATTCTCTAGAAAGGGAGATAAAAAATGATATGCTATGACTGACTTCGGCTGTAGAGGAAGAAGCTTCTTCTGCGTGCAACAGTCAGAAAGCCAAGAGTAGTGAATAACATCTCCTTGGTGCTTTGCAGCCTGAAACTTGATCCCTGTAATATGATTTCAGAATTCATTCCTTCTTAATATATGTGTTTTTACTAGTGATTAAGCTGGTGATTGAGTTTCCATGGGTTGTTTCATCTGATAAATTGAGGAACAGAGAGATGAAAAACTGACTGACCTTTACTTTCAGAGGCAATACAGTGAGTAACCAAATTATTCAGATTCATTGAGAATGTGCCACCATTCTCAACCACCATTTTGTGCAAGGAATCAAGAGAGTGCGACGAAGGTGCATTTACGAAGTCTAAAGGTCAAGGAAGATCAATTAACAAATGAACACATCAATCAATTAGACCTACATATATCCAAACTTTGGCATAGCTGAGCATGAGTTAGATATTTGAAACATGTAAATGAAAGAAATCCATAGGATTGAACATTTCAACAGATCGGACCACCAACTAATCACAATAGTAATTTCTCCTTCTTCAGTCTTGTTTTCTGCTAGCATAGCAAAAAAAAAAAAATCTGACGCAGTACCCTTTTTTTGTAAGCATAACCACACGAAAGTGCGCAGAATAATGAAGATCAAGATACTGTATACTTTAAACTGATGTAATCAGATTGATGATTATAGGATACAGAATATCATGTTTGAAAATATTGATGTTCCAGCCTTAACTTGAGAAACATCTGTCTGAGTAAAGTGGGAAGGAACAGCAGAAACATTCTTCTTTTCTCTAGACAACTTTGTTCGTTTTGGTTTATTTTCCTGCACAACTGTGGAATCTGTCGCCCTTTGCATGGTACCATTGCTTGAATGTACTAATTCAATGAAAGCTGCAACAGACAAAAAGAAATTGTGATAGATATCTGTTTCGCTACTGACTCTACATTAATCATATAACATAGCAAACCCTGAAAATGATAAATAAAGCACTAAGAGTTAAATCATTCACTCACACTGAACATCAAGGCACTCGTGCCAAGGTTTGTCATATCTCACTCGATCAATCCGTGGAAATCTCAAGCTATATGGAGCAGCAAATACCTTGACCAAAAAAAATGTGAATCGTAACTTCTTATTAACGTTCGTTAGACACTACCGAAAGGATGGAGAGCTAGGGTACTGATGCAGAATAAAGTAGTTGAAGAGCGACAATACAATAATTTTTTTGAAAAAATCGCCTTATAAATGGCACCCAAAGGGATCAGAAACCTCGAGTTTACCCACACTCTGTAGTGGGAGAGGTCCCAATACCACTTAGGCTAAGCCTTAGGTTAGTTTAAATGCACATGTTTAGTAAAACATGAATTGCACCTTGAAACGGAAGCAGTTCTACTTGTCAACATTACCTCGGATCTGATTGTTCGGATATCACTGGTGATGGAAACTACAATTGATCTGTGTACACAGGAAGTGAAGGTAAGAAACAGAGAAAGTTAGTCCGGTCATCACCAGAATATTTTGCTTACTTTTCTGGGCTTTCAACCCAAACATCTGGTCTCTCCTTCGAATTATTTGTAACTTGATAAAAACTTGGAGGTGCTTTCTTCGGATATTCATATTTCCTGGAAATAGAATTACCGTAGTTTTAGTTAGACTTTAACACAATACAATCTAGGTGAGTAATAAATCAAAGAAAAACTTCAAAGCATTCGTTACTCTGCTTAATCCCACAGAAATAACCATATGTTGTAACAGCATATATTCATGAATATTTATCAAGTCATATGTGAATTTCACATTGTAGGGACCATACTAAGAACTTGCTAATGTAATGTAACTGAGTCAAATTCTAAAAGTAAAGCCAATTATTATCTGGAGGTGTCTTATCAATGGGCAGCCAAAAGTATTTTCACGGCAGTTTCCAACAACAATCATCAGTGATCAAAAGAAACCTGAGGTAAGGCTTCAATTTGGAGACAACAGCATTAAGCTCCTCGTCAGAAAGTCCTGTACCGACCCTGCAAAATGAAACAAATCTGCAAGTGCAGAAATATCAGAATCTCAACTGCACACCAAAACTGATAATACATGCATAAGGACTTGACACAAAGGTCATTAGCATGCTAGACATTGACGAGGGAACACATGTATCAGAGGATGAAAAAAGAAAAATCCATTGAGCTAAAACACATTCTTCTTTACTAAACAACATAGATGTGAAAAGGTGACAAAGTTATATTTGGTAAAACATTAGATTGCTCGCAAAGTTCCAGTGCCAATCCGTTTTAAGGCGATGTGTTGCAAAAAAACTAACCGTCTGGGATATGTGTTTGGCGCCGGACGCTCAGCAAGGCCAACAAGAAAATTTGCTATCTTCAAGCATGGAACAAAAGCGAAGAGTTTTATTAGTGAACAAAAACATAAGATGCAACTGCTAACTGAAGCGTATCCTCACCTCACCTCCACGACGTCCAGAACCATAGTACCCGCCTGCATAATTTGGCTGTGTATGTTAATATGCTTTATAAATCACTTCAAAAGAAAATTAAAAGGTATAACCTGACCTATTATAAGGACATCTAAATCAGAGCCCGCTCGGATGTAATCGGGCTTTAACTTCAGCCACTTTCCACTGCGGTCACTGGGTTCCCATTTGGAGGCAAGATCTTTCAAAACAATTCCTTCATCTCTGTCATGTCAGATAATGAATTCTACGCATAATCAGGTTGAGTGGATATTAAGTTCAGATAATTATCACACAACAGAAACTGCAAGAATACAAACATAAGCATCAGGGAGAACTTCAAAGTGCATTAGTTGTCCTTTCTGCTCTCCACCTTTTATCTACAACTTTCAGTCTTTCACTGTTTCCAATTATTTTCCTTTTGTTTTTCTTCTTTCAGCAGCAAGTCGCTCTCATTGTCGGACTGCAGGTGTATTGGCTTATTTTTTATTGTCCACCAAATTTAAGTGTACAAACAAGATAAGCTGTGCACTTTCTTAAGTTTATAGGTATGTAAATATATTTTCCCATTTGCAAGGTAGACCAATTTGGTCCCAGTGCTATCCTAAGAGACTCCAATACATCCTTAATGGTGAAGAAATTTCATAGTCCATCTTTAAGTCTTCTTGCTACCAGAAGAGAATAAAGACCTCTTCCACGTGTGTTTGATCTTTCCTTTCATAAACCAGCAATAGATGGAGCATTGGAAAGTTTCTGGTGCCACTCTTGCACATATTTAAATCATTTTCTCGTGTTCATGCTAGATTATTCTACAACTGAATCGGTACTTAGAATACTCTGTTAATTACGTCTATCGCCTTTCAGGAAGGCTAACTAATTAAACCCAAATTCCAAGCAGTAAACAAGGCAGCATGATAAGAAGTTTATGTGCAGATATTGGATTGCAACACCTTACATAATGCAAAGTCAAATACAAACAATGCAGCAAGCACTACCACATTGGACATATAAACTCGAGCATACAAATGGATGTGTATTAATATCAGGCATAAACTACCAACAGAAGGACTTGCAAGTGGAGAGAAAGACTCAACTGCGACACATGGAAATAATTACTCACCTGTTCTCAATGGTCTCCTTGAAAAATTTCTCAACGCCATCAACATCATGAACAACTAGCGACCAACATGGTTCCCCTGCATAATAGTGAATCTAAACAGCCAAATCCACAGCAGAACAGGAAATTCCAAATCATTTCTTACACAAATGTCAAAAGGGAAAGATATACAGCTAGTTCTATAGAGGCAAAGAGGACACACAGTAGCATTTATGGGAATATTATGCAAAACCAGAAAAAAAAATTATGTTCCTCTAGAAACTTTGTTGCTGGTTTAGTTTACATGAGCCTGTTTATACTACCAGAAAAAGAAATGTTCTTTACCAGCAGGACGATGTGCATTAAGACCACCATTAGGGACCAAAATCTCCAAACGTCCTACTATTGGTTTGACAACTTGCCGAAGAAGTTGATGTCTCTCCTTCAAGCTTTGGTGAATAACACTGGTATCTCCAACGTAAAGAATGTCAAATGCAACATCTAGGCACGTCATGTCAAGTCAAACTCAAATGGAACAGCAGATACCAAACTTATAGTGCCAAGATGATGTACTATGTTGATTGTGCAAACTCGAAATTCAGATCCAGGTTTTGTGTTAAGGATACAGCATAACTGCATCAGAAGAAAGTGTAAGGTCAAAATTTAGAAATAATAACTTTGACCATCAAAGAATTATTTCAAATATTATACACAAAGAGACCTGTCGATCACCATCAAGCCCATCCTTTGCGGCCTTGGCTATGACGAAGCATAAGAACACGAAAGAGTGAGTAAACTTATAGACAAATACAAAAACCAGACAACGCGACAAGGGAACACAATGAATTGAAACCTATTTCTTGATTTGAACCAAACTCTGCAAATCGATTTGTAGATTTGTCCCAAACCAACATTTCACCATCAAGAATGCACCTACAGAAAAGGTGGTAACTTGTCATGCCATCAGATTTTATCAATCTGCATGCTAATTAAAGGGAACAATTACACATAAGTACATGGCAAACTTTTTGAGCATCATCACTCGTATTGCAAATTTCAGATGAGGCTAATGTCAAGATATAAAGGAAATACACTGGATGTCTGTAAAAAAACGTTACTCAGCAAAAGCCTGTGGTTTCTAATAAAATATGCCATAGGTTTTGGTGAAAGGGAAGATGAAGATTTCTGGTAATGGCTTGAGTACAAACTCAGCCAATCGACCGATAAATATATACACAATACAATTAGTGATCCTTAATGATACTCCAACTAATCATCTAACAACTATTACATTTATGTCCCTGTCTAACAACAACTCTAAATAACTATTAATAATTCCAACATTTTTAACGAATAAACTTTTAAAATCTCACTTATCTTTCAAGGTCTGCCAGAAAGTTAGAATAATTACATTTATAGCCTAAAGACAAGCGAAATACTTAACACAGAAAACAAGAGATGAATGGCATAAAATTATCTGATGAAATGTTTAATTCTGGAATACTCACCTGTCAACCAAAATATTCTCCCTTATAATCTCTGACATGCCATGTTCATATTCTGGATGGTCAAGAAAATTCCTGCCCATTTAAAAAAACAATAATCGTTCAGACATGCAACAGTGCCTAAAAAATTATTTCACCTATAAATTCACAACTGCGCTATGGAGTGCATAGATTTTGCTACATCAGCTTGTAAAATGGACTGAGAGTAATTGTTGGATTAGAATTATATCCCCTTTCCAACTGAGGACATCTAATAGGGACATAATGTTTTTCTTGTAAACGTCAATTTTCTACATGGTAAATTAATATTATTGATCAAAACAAAAGTATCGAATACAAAAACTTGAGAACTCGCACCAAATATAGATAGACAAACTAAAGTTAATGACAAAACTTGATTTCAAATTTTGATAATAATGCTATAAAAATAGATTACTGCATAAGCTAACTGAAAATAGTCCATAATTACGCAAGAGCATAAAGCAGACTTATATAATCAATAACTAATAAAATACAATAATGAAGAGTTGATCTCAGGATAGCAGCTACCTCGAGAAAAAATTTATTCCTGCTGCATTTTTATGGATTTGGATGCGATCACCATCAAATTTGCACTCAACAATAACTTCCTTCCCATGAAGCTATTTGGTTGGAAAGAATTATATACAAAAATCAATAGGCCAAGAAATTCAGTAAATGTATAAACTAAAAGGAACCATATGATCCAAAGCTGATCTTGATGATATCAATAATCAAGTTACTTTTTTCATTAGTTCCAAGCCTTTCTCCTGAATTTAAACCACATACAGACCTTCTTCCATGCCGCGGCTGCATTGCTGACCCTCAGAGCTAGTTGAGGGCGGACAGGTTTGCCTACTTCAATGTCCTGCAGAATGATAAGTACTGTGTGTCATAGATGAAAGGATTGAACTCCAAAATAGCAAAACATGGTGTGAAACAAAAGAAAATCCATAACCAAGTAAATCATCAATTAGTATTGGTTATTAGGAACAGCTAAAATTCAGTTAATAATGTTTTGTTTACAAAAGCCTGATCCAGGAGATGAGAACTTGCGTAAACAAAATTCCATCTGGCCATGCGTCAAGCGAACAATTTTTTTATTTTTTTCTTACCTATTTGTGAAAAATGAATGATTTAACCATGAAATATGAGCATAGTCCGCTAAAGAGATATGAGCATTAATCACCAACAGCAAACTTAGCTTTTATGGTTATGGGTAAAATAAGTTTCATAAAATATTTATTTAATCCAGATCTCTGAAGCACAAACCTGGCGCTTATGCCGCTGACTACGATCTCGCAACTTTTCACAAACTAGCTTTAGATCACATGTTACATTGAACAGGTCCTCAGCATCAGGGTGAAATTCATGAAATATGCTCTTTTCACTGATTCCCAACTTAAGATCTGAACTTCAAGGAAGTTGCAGAAATTAGAAAAGAATAAAATACACTTTCAAAACAGAAAATCCCACAGAGATGTCAAATGCAAGAAATTAAATAAGGTTAACAGTAACCACCTTTGAGAATTATCATAACAATCCATTTCATTTCTTGAGCATTCGTTTTCCTGATCAAATCAGAAAGGATAGAAGTCTTCTCTGACCTGTACCAAGTAGACAAGACTACAGGTATCAATTCATGATGCACTATCACATGAAATACTAAACATTATAATTGTTTTGTTTCTGGTCTCCAGAAATGAGAACCATATTAGCGCTATATGTTATCTGAGCTCCTGAAATGAGGAATGTTCAAATATTAATTATTTCCAATTTGTGCTAACGGAGCAAAACAATTTCAAGAGATCAAAAAAAAACGAGGAGCAAATAGAACAAGAGGCAAAACCATTTGCCGTTTACCAGAAAATAAATAATATATAATAACTCTAGTTACAGTGAAAGTTTCACCTATTTTCACAAGAGGCCAATCGATCAAGCAGTTCATTTAATTCTTTTATAGTCAGTCCCCCTGAAGTCATGCCTTGCCTCCGTTGTAAAACCTGCTAACATTTGCGAGAAATGAGGTCGCCTCATAATCCAGTTAATATCAAAACTTAAATATTACAATACAACAGGCTAAGCAAAACTTGAACCATCAAATGTCCGATCTTAGGCAATAGAAATTCCCAATAGTAAAAACTAATTGACATTAAGATACAAGTTCATGCCACCAAGGAGAATATTGCAGCCCTAATGCAAAAACAGCAAAAATCCCAAATAGAGAGATTAGCTAATCCAAGATACAAACCAAATGCATTAAAATGAGAACTCAAGTCAAATGGAATTTCTCGGGGCAAGAAGGAAATTAACTGTAGAAACAAAAATTGAGAACCTCGGCGGCGATGAGGGAGAAATTTCCGGCGAAGGAGCCGGATTTGGGGCCGCCCTTGCGCCAGTTGAGGAGGTGCTGAGAGTCGGGGGAGTCACGAGACATGCCGAGGGCGTCAATGAGGCACGTGGCCAGCACGTGCTCCCGGAGTCCGTAGGAGCCGCGCTCTCGGTCTATGCTGGGAAGGATAAGGCGGATTGCGGAGAAGTAGTCGTCGCCGTTACTGGGGCGGCAGAAGGTATCGAGAAACTTGCGAAATTTGGAACGCTTGACGGACGAGGACTTGCTCTTCTGCATCCAATTGAATAGGCTCACCATCACGCTGAACTTTGTCTCCGACATATTTTACCTCCTGCGCGGCGGTTGGTGGTTGGTAATTGGCGGTGGCGGTGGCGGAATCGAAATTGCGGAGGAGCGGAAGGAGGGGGTTTTGGCTGATTGAAAAGTTCGAACGGTGAGTTATTTAAATAGGCGACGGTATGGAAAGCTTGTTAAGGACGACTTTTGACACGTGGAAAATCGTTTTCTATATTCCCCTTTGATACTTTAATCTTTCTTGATTATGTTTAAAATAAGTTTACCATTAATAATACCCACTTAATCTTCCATAAATTAGACCAGCCAAATTTCATTAATTTAACAAAATATTTTTAGCACGCTGTCTTCGAATCCGGACCGAGGAAATATGGAGTATTATTTATACTGAGATTATTAATTTATAGAGATTCTACTCTTGGAATTTGTCAAAAAAACACAATTGTCAGTTATTTTAACTGATACATAATATTAAAGGGTCAATTACGTCCACCTCTAAGGTAAGATCAAATTACGAAAAAACACTTTCATATTTTAGTAATTACAACCACCTCCCCAGTTATTAATCTCCTTACATGTTCACTCTTATGGTGTCAAGTTCAACATAATCTTCTATATTCCGTGGAATGTTCTCTAGTTTGTACTCGTTTGTGCAAAAAAAAAAAAAAGTAGTTTCTGATGCACTACAATCTAATATTTACAAGCCAAGAGACACATCTTATGATCATTCTGTTTCAAAATATGGTGCTGGAAAAGGGTAAAATGAGTACAAACTGAAGAATATTTCACGTAATCTAGAAGATTTCACTAAATTTGACATGATAAGAGTAGACGTGTAAGAAGATTCATAGTTGAGGTGTAATTATAATTACTATTTTTTTCTCAATGTGACTTTACTTCATGAGTGGCCGTAATTTACCCTAATAATAAATTTATATTCAAGAAAGTTTATATAAATTGAATGTTGTTGTTTGATAATTTAGATGTATAATTGGATGAAATTGGCTTTGTTATTTTATCTAGTTGAATCCATTTCAAATTTTCTGGTTTGAATATGATAATTTGATGGAATAGAATTAGATTGTAACGAAAGAGTCTACTTATTGAAACAGTGATATTTAAAAAAGTAGCAATATATTATTAAATAGATACAAGTGATAGTGACAAATCCCATAATCCTTATTGAATTTCCAAAAATAAAAAATAAAATAAAACTAAATATTTCATAATGAAACAAATAAATAATTAAACATGGTATTAAATATTAATATAATATAAATACAAACCCCTGACCAAGTCTCAGAAATGGTAGTTTACTCAGTGCAATTCAAACTAAAGCATGAGCTTTTCAATTATCAACCCATTGCATGAGTGCAGTAGTAAATCCTGCTCTAATCAAAAAGTCGAGCCGTTGAAGCCAAAGAACGGGCGCTGGAGAAAAGACAAACGAGAGAAACGAGTCAACAAACTCGTTTTTACGAACCTTGTATTATTTATTCACCGCTTGAAGTAGATAGTAAGAGAAGACACAACCGTGGTGTAAGTTAGTCGAATAAACATATTATAACTCGGTACTCGCATTCCAGACCAACGAAAAAAAGGTTATATTTACTCTAAATTCGTGTCAACTGTCGAGATAAAAAAAAAGGCTAATAACTCTACTATGCGCTTCTTGTCTAGCCTAAATGTTGAGCAGGGCAAAAAAATAGCAGAGTGTGTTCATTACCTGAACATCGTAAAACTTGATGTAAAACCGAGAGCTGTCGATAGAAAGCTTGGTCTGCAGAATCTCTGCAATAGTTGCACTAAGTTTGGCGTTAGCGCTTGGACCCAACGCTCCGATGGAGATTAATTCACCATAAGCAGAAGGCTCTTCGGTTCCACCGAACGAAATCGGCACCCCTCCGTTCACCAGTATCATCACGTACTGCAGATTGTGTCAAACAGAGGGTTTTTTTAATTTCAAAAAAAAAAAATAGTATTTTTTTCTCAGAGGCATATCATCAAACACATTGTATACAATACATAAAAAACACACAAAAATGCCGTAAAAATAAGTTAAGCAGGGAGAATTACGGATTCAGGTTTGCTGAGGATCTTTGCAACAGCTTTGGTGGCATCTTTGAGAATATCAGAAGCAACGACGGCATCAACTGGGACATTGGTGAACAAATTCAAGGTGGGCATTTTTTTTTAATCTGCTTTAAACTGTATAAATGGTCGGCCAGAGAGAAAAAAAGTGAGCTTTATTTTGGGGAAACTATGAAATGAGTGGCTTCAAAATTCTCACATGGATAATAAAGCTGCCCTTCAGTTTTGGAAGCAGGCGGAGTGTGGGGTTTCCGGCGAGAGGTTTTCTAAAAAATTGTAATTTAAATAGATTCTTTGTAAAAAATGGAACTTTAAATACAAAAGTAAGTACAAGAAAACATCTAACAAACATATAATTGTTTCAAACAAAATATAAAAATTAATTTTTTTTTTTTCTTATTTAGTTACAAAAACAAAAATCAAATACAACTACAAATAAGTTTTCCTCTTTCTCCATGGTCAATCTGCATGTTGCTTTACAGATTATAATCTGACATATTTCTGCATAATTTTTTTTTTTTTAATAAAAAAAAGTTGGCAATGCCTTGAGGAAGAAAAAAAACTCCCATCCTACAAAATTTTACATCCTAAAGCTACTATATCCTCCAACACCAGATGATCCATAGCCACCACCATAGGGTTGCCCCGCCGCATACGAGGAGGAAGTGTAAGCGCTGCCGCTGCCGCTCCCGCTGCCTAACTGAGAGTACGAAGACCTCAAACTGGATTCCAGATTGCTATAACTCCCTGGAAGTGATTCTCGAGGGGCACTCGTAAAATCCTGGTTAATATATAACATTTCTCATATTAGTCTTCCTGTATAGTATGAAATCAATCTCACATATATTTGAAAATAATAGCAATATGCACGTAAATTTTCTAGGCCCTAATTCAAATTACTGAACTTGGAGAGAACGATTTACCTGAATGAGTTGTTGGGCAGCTTGGACTTGTGCAGAGGTGCCTTTAATTTCGACGGTAATTTCCTCAGGCAAGCCTCGACTCTCTTGCACTGTAAGAATGGCACCACTAGTTCGTCGGATGTAATCGATATTAGCCCCTTGAACACCGATGATATCCTCCGCATAAGCAAGAGGTATTTGCATAGTCTGTGCAATCTGCATGAGGCAATAAATGTCATATAAATAAGATAAGTTGATTTTTTTTTTATTTCTTCGCCGAATAAAATACAGAAACTGCAATTGAACATGCAAAGGGTAGTTAGTAATTAGCACAGCACACAAACCTGAGTTACAATGGGCCCACCAGGGCGTCCTATTGTTGAGGAACGGCTGCCAAGCCCGTGATCTGGACCATACAACGAGAGTCTAGAAGAAGCGATGTGTGATTCCATGCGGCTTTCAAGTTCACGGTCAATATAGAGATCCCTCTTCACTGAGAGGGGGTAATCACCGCCTAGTGAGGTCTGTGGAGTAGCATGCAGCATATTCTTGTCGGACCAAGTGTCTACTACTTGTTGTCTTTCCTGAGCGGGTGGCGCAGTATTAAACTGTAAAATAAGGGAGAATAATATTCATAAGTGTCGTGATATCATACACTACGAAATCAGGCAGGGATGAACTTACGCTCTTCTCAAATAAGGGAAGAATGCTCTGGTCGACCAAAAATTTTCTCAGATGCCCCACCACAGCTTCTAAAGCTTTGAGAACCTTGATACCTTCCCCTTGTAACTCGACAATCCTCTCATCAGTACTGGCATATATTGGCATTTCATCTGTAATCAACAATAAGAAGGATCATGTCATTCATCCTACAGGAAGAAAATCGACTCATTCCAGCACAAAAACAAGTTCAATAAATTCAATCGAAGAATAAGGTTGAGAAAAATGAATTAAAAAAATAAACTCATCGTGAGACATTGTCATAAGAAATATGACACAATTTTCTCTCTTGCTAATTGGTTATGCTATGCTAATACCCGTTTCCTGTATTGTTACCATAGAGGGTTTTTTTTTAAAACTTAGCCTTATAAATGCCTTACAACACATGCAACCAACACACACACGCACACGCACACACACACACACACACACACAGGGACCGAACCCAAAATTTTCAACCACGAGATGGGAGTGGTACCGCTCAACCAAGTCTTGTCATAGAGGGTTGCTAGGGCCATAAACGTCTAAATTTCTTGAACATATATTTATATAAAATCTGAATCATGCAATAAGATCATGTCAATCTGAAGATGTCTCAATACCATTATTAGAAAGCACCCGGACAGAAGCACCGGTGCTTTCCTGGATAGACTTTATCAAGGAGCCTTGTTTTCCTATTAAGCTTATGGCCTGTGTTGATGCCACCAACAACCGAAGCGAACAAAATGCAGCACCAGCACTATCATCCTCAGACAGTCCATTAACACGTTTGAAGATTCTTATTATGGCATCAATTGCTGGAGGCAAGGCAGATTCTGGTTCTTCCTTCCCAGCAACCAAAACCTGAAATATGTGCAAGTTGAAAACATTTGTCAAGTAGAAATATTAACTAAAACCAATAACACAAACATAGCTGACAATCACAGTCAGTACAGCCAACAAATTTTCCATCTGTCAAAGACATTCTAAATAGACCATAGGAACAGAGTATCAATGAAACAAGGCCAAAAACAAGCATTTTTGGCCTTAAGGAAAACCAATGTATGCTTTGAAGAAGTTCCAAGTCAAAATCCAGTTGGATCATTCTGAACCTAATTATATCTAGATTACACATTGTTTGATGATTCAAGGGAACAGAAGCCAACCCAGTCACCAGTTGCAATATTTTAAACGTCAGATCTGTAGGGGGTTAAACAGCGCAAATTTAACTAACTATTTCAAAAAAAAAATAGAAGTTAGATTTCTAATCAGCTGAAACTGCAGCCATCTTTTTGACGTGCAATATTCAAGATAACCTTTCTTACCCTCAGAAATAAATGCAGGACATCTTAGATCATCAAGTACAGGGAATTTAAATAAAGAATATAGCTTATACGTTTGACATTATACAACCACGTCGGTCGTGGAGGGACGTTACTTAAGGATTACACAATATCTCCACTATTGGCATAAAGTTCAGATTCCTCTCAATTCTACTCTAGCTGGTTAGACTTGGCCATTTCAAGTAAGAAACTGAATAGATATCAGAAAAACCATTTTCATAAAAGTACTTTCTATCTTCACTAACAAATTATGGTTAACATTATCAAAGACTCCCATTGTCAAGAAGAAAAGATTTTAAGCAACTCATTCTGCAACACCTAAAAAAAGAGCAATATATTCAGATGTTTTCAACCCCATAAGTAGCTAGCTTTCAGCGAAAACTCTATCCACTGTAGCACATTATATTTAATTATAAAATCAAGACCAAGATCAAAAGCATTGCCACGAATTTGTCCCAAAACACAAATGGCATTTGAAATAGCAGGAACAGTGAGATTGCCTTGAGGCGCCAAAAATTGCAACATAATGATGTTGCATGTGATAGCAGAATAGATAAGTTGCCTGATAGTAGACTTCTTTTCTTTATAGGATAAAACATAAACAAACGGAACATTTTGGCTTAACAAGTCCGAAAAGGAGAAAATAAAATATAATATAATGTAAAACTAAACAAAGCTGAGCAAATCTCTAGAATAGCAAAAGCAAACTTCAGGGCGGAAAAAAAAATATTAATTGGAATCAACAAAGAGAAAAGGCAATGCCCAACAATTTAAACAGTGGATATCATTTAAGAAAGTAAAGAGTCTTTGCAATCCCAAAGTTCAGAAAATTGCCCTTGAGGGGAAGGGGAGTAAAACCCAGTATAGTTGCAAAAACGAAAAAAAGGGAACATAACATTTAGGCTGAAAACGAGAGCTGATAACAACAAACTAAGAACAACGAATTAAACCAAAAGCAATGATTTAACCAGAAGTTCCAAGCATAAGTTAACCTCAATTTCTTTTTCAGAAACTAAAAACCCTAGAAAATTAGTCATCTACATCACCCTAAAAATTGGAAAAGAAGAAACAGATACTATCTAGCATAATCACAAAAAGAAACTCCGAATTCCCAAATTAATTTAGTCCTAAGAAACAAAAACACAGTACAAAAACAACCTAATTGTATAGAGCCCCTATGCATACGAGCATATATGTAATGGAAATAAATAAAGGAAGAAAGTGAATTACAATGCGATCCGGAGAGGTCATGGGGCCATCAAGCACTCGAACCCTAGCGCGAGTCTCCTCAACGAGCTTCTTAATGAGATCGCCCTTCCGCCCAATAATGCTACCCACTTTCAGCACCGGCACAACTAGCCGAAACACTGAATGGCCAGGCCAACCCGGCCATCTGGCCTTCATCTCCGCTAATTCCTTCGCCTTTTCATCAGCCTGATTGACCTCGGCCGCAGTGGGAGTCTCGGCATCGGCAGCTTCAACTTCCTCGGATATGGCTTCTGTGGCCTCGGCTGCAACCGATTGTTCAGCGGAGGAGGTGGTGGTGACGAGAGGTTCGGCGGTGACAGAGCCGTTGTCTGCCGGCGGTTGGGCGGAGGCCATTTGGCAGTGTGGTTTTATTGCTCTTACTGGTTTCGGTGCACGAGGGTTTTGAGATGAGAGAGGAGAGAGAAATATGGAGGGTTTTAAGAGGAGAAAGAAGATGGGGGAAGAACGAAGAAATTGAAGATGTACAATTTAATTTGTTTTGGAAAAAGAATTTGGTAATTGCAGAACTTTTGAAAAAGGATTATAATTCTTTTATTTATTTTTTCTTCTTAATATATATATTTTAATATTTGCAAATATATTTAAAATTCCCTTCTAATCTAAAATGCATTGGTACAATAATTAAATAATTAAATTATATTTGTTATGATATTTAAAGCGATGTGATAAATATCGTTTAATGTTGTTTTGACTTCAAATGTGATTTTGACCATTTTTTAGTTTGAATTGGGCAAAATTCAGAACATGGAATTTGTAGTTCTTTAAGTTAGTTTTCTAGTCTGACTTCAATCGCCAAGATTGGATTTCGTTTGAGAAAGTTATACATGAATCAATGAACACTTCCCACAACTTTGATGCTTTAAATTATGTAAAATGTAAAATGTAACTCATTCATGTGTAACTTTATCACCCGACATCCAATCCAACTGATTCAAGTTGGATTAGAAAGCTAACTGAAAGGACTACATTTTCTGTCTTTTGAATTTTGCCAAATTCAAACTAGAGAAGGGTCAAAATCACGTTCTAAGTCAAAACAATATTAATAGAATCGAAACGACATTTAACATTTCAGTATGTGAAACATACCACATAGATTAGTTGGAAGAAATTTTTATGTACAAACACTTCAATTTCTAAAATTAATTGTTTGAAATCATCTTTGAGATATTTGCAAGTAGAGGTGAGTTTGGTAAGACAACCGTACCAAACCACTCGAATCGTTATTCACTATAATTACCAAAATTTCTATATTACTAAATTCATTATCAGCGCCCTACAAAAAATTCGATAGGGTACGGTATGATAATTGTAATTACCAATTTAAGTATTTATGTTATCTTCTATTTTATCAAAATTGAATATGATTTTCTCAAATCAATTCAAGACATGTACATGTTTATGTTTAAAATGCTCAAAACTAGTATTTAAAGACATAAACATTTGAGATATATATTCTTAACTTAACTAATATAAAATATTTATTAAATAAAATTATAATATAAAAATTCTTAGCATAAATCATATCATAATCAGTAAAAGATTCAAAATATTTTCAACATACCTAATAAATACAAATAAGCTTAAGTAATAATAGATTAATAGTTACTTAACATACTATATTTACTCTCTATATAGAATAAATTATTTATTAAATAAAAATTTATTTATTAATAATATTTCGGTACAGTAGAAAAACTATCGAGTTCCATTGCCCTACCGGGCTTAAAAAAACTAATGAAAGCCCTAAATAAGAAGTTTGTTGGTCCAGAAGTCTATCTTCCTAAAAAGCCCAAGTCCAACAAATCATTGTTTATTTTATTTTATTATTTTTGGTTTTTTAATTTAATTTTCAATATTAACTTAACTTGTATTTATTTATTCCGTAGTTTGTAGACGTGGAGCTCATTCTTCATTCCCGAAAGTCAATTAATTAATTATGAATTAAGAAAAAAAAAAAAAAGGAAATTTACAAAAAAAGAAAAGGAAATAATAAATAAATTGGGAAGGCCTTACTAGTATTTTGGAGCTGTTCTTTACTTTTCCCCATTCAGACTTGTCTTCTCGCTTCAATCAAATCCTAGGTCAGGTTTCGCTGCCCCTCTCCTCTCGATTCCGCCTTCCTCTTCTTCCTCTCTGTAATTTCTTCATCCGAGATCTGTTCTAATGGCGCGCGCCGCATTCCTTCGGATTATATTTTTCTATGTTTTTTTTTATACTTGTTTAATCTCGTATTTTGTCCTTTTTTTTTTTTTTCATTTTGTTTGTAGCAATTGACGTTTTGTGATGGTAAATCCGTTTGTTTTTGCAGTGATAAAAGATCCAAAATAAATCGCGATGCTGGGTGTTTTAAGGCGGAAAGCCGCTTCTGGCGCTTCATCTGTTTCGGTAATATCCTTAATTTTTTTTTTTCGGACCAAGCTTTAAACGTAGATTTACTTGCGCATATGCTCATGTATTATGCTTATATTGGTTGTATATGTAATATCATGTACTGTAAATGAACAGAGACGCGCGTAGAAACTCATTTTTGCCATTCTGTAATAGGTTTACGGAAAATCATTCAACAATCTGAAACCTGCTGTATCTGCACCACGAGCGAGCTCTGCTGTTCCAGAAGAGGTAATATCTATGTTTTCAATTGCTGTATTTTATTAAAAAAATTAGGAATCGTTGGGATTTTAGGCTTTATTGTGGTCTTCGGAACAGTTTTTGCTGATGAATGAGATATCTGATTATAGCGAATCCATTCTATTAGAAAATAGTTTGTTGGAATTGAGAAAACACTTTGGTGTTTGATAAAAAATCGTTGATGAAGTTAATATATTTGTCTTTTGTCATCCGTGTAATTTTCACTAATGTTGAGGCTCGTGACAGATCATTCACTACACCAGGGGACTTGGCAATGTTCGAACCTTCTGTCACCTGCCTTTGGCTGGTATAGCTTCTTGCTTTATTGTTATATAGTCCAAACTATTCTTTCTATGGTTTGGCATCAGTGACGTTGTTCTATTCTTTTTGTTGTAGGTCGCACAATGTCTTTGGTGCCAAAGAGGTTAGTGATCCTTCGTCAATGTATTTGCTTCATTTTGTTTCTATTGCATTGTTTGTGTTCTTTACTCATTGATGGAGACCGAATAACAAGTTAAAAATGGGTTCGAGCCTCTAGAAATAAAAATAAGGGAAAGTGTGATAGATTTAAAACTATTACTTTATTTCATAATGAGGTTCACTCGAACTTGGTCTGTTAAGCCCTGTTGGGTTTGTGATAGCAGCAGACTAGTAAAGAATTGCTACGGTACGGATCATGTTATGCATTCATCTACTTATGGCATGAAGATTTAGTAAACTATATATTTCGAAACATACCCATAGTTGGTGATCATTTCATTAAGAGTGTCTGATAGCATCCTCCTTCTTTTGACGTGGACTGATTTTGTACCTCATATTTGTTTGACTAACAGGAAACCTTAAGAAGTAGTATAACTATAAATAAATTTCCTACTTAATGGTTTGGGGAAAATGCAAGTGTTAACTGTCGAGAGAGTCAAAACTCGGATGAATCTGATATTTTGTATTATTTGCAGAGAAGTTGTAGGCTATCTTCAGCAAGATGTTAACATGCAGATTTGGAGCAGATCATTCAGTTCAAATGCTGGTATAATGTTTAATTGAGTTAAAAAAAAGTACCACTTGTTTTTTTTTTTTTTTTTTTTTTTTAATTATTATTTAAAATACCACCTTTAAAATTATATCTGTGAATGGAATCGATCTTGTCCTTCTAAAAATATTGTATCATTTTCCTGTTTAGGCCTCAAATTTGATATCCACAGGTAGAAGCTAGAACTTCTATTACTAAATAGTGAATACTAAATATTAAAGGATTCACATCATCAACATCTTAAGCTTTTAACTGAAGGCGTCATTCAACATGGTATCAGAACCACGACCTAATTATTTATACTGTGTTCGAATCCAATTGCCAGCACTTACAAGTTTTTACGGGCAAAGCTTAAGTACTAGTACGCCTGCACATGAGGTGACATTTAGAGTTATTAAATATTAAACGATTTACACCACTTTGCACGTAAAGCTATTAGATGAACTGGTTATTCAAGAGGTTAGTGGTAATATTTTTTCTTCTAAAACGGACAGAAATGATAGATGAAATTGGGTTCACATGATATGCAAGGCAAGTGTAGTAATGTATTCTATGCTTTGGTCTTTGATTTTTGTGATTTTCAGTATCCATTTGTAGTCAGTCACCTCGGTTGCATCAATTAGCTGACATATGAATATCTGAATCAGTTATCTCTATCTAGAGGACGTTTGGAGATATATTTATGTGCATGGAGTTGCTTTCTCTTTTTAATGTCTTGCTTGTAACTTGTCCCTCCTATTGATGCGTGAGCAGATGGTGATACTGTTGAAGCTGTAGTACCATATATGGGTGAATCTATAACCGATGGCACATTAGCAGTTTTCTTGAAAAGTACGTTTTCTATATATTATTTCTTGAAAAGTACCCTGTTAACTTGAGCAATAATGATACGAAGGGTTTAATCCCTTGATTTTGTTTTTACTGCTTGTTGGTGTAAGCAGAAGTTGGAGATAGAGTAGAAGTTGATGAAGCAATTGCTCAGGTTGAAACAGACAAGGTACTCAATCTTAATACCCCCTCCGTTCCTAAATAAGTGTCTCTTTTCACTTTTCACCAGGATTAAGAAACTCAATAAATGTGGCTTGATTTTAGGAAAAAACACATAAAAATGACCAAAACAATCTTTATCATTTAATGATTTATGAGAGATAATTAATACTTAGAGTTGAATTAATAAGGTTGAAACATGAAAAATGCATTTAATGCAGTACTGGAAATTTAAAGTGACAAATAATATGAAACGAAAATATTTTAAAAAAAAGACAGTTATTGTGGAACAAAGGGAGTAATAGATAAGAAATAACAGATGGTTCACCAGCTTCTTAAATTTAACAGAACGGTCACCTTACACTGTAACTCATGAAAGAGGATAGCTGGCTGCTACTTGTGCAACTTGACATACTGTTATGGTCTGACAGCTAACGGAAGTAATTTGATATCAGACCCTTTTTGCCTCGGTACTTTGACTAACAGTTGGTGTTGGATTGTTTCTTGTCCCAGGTCACTATTGATGTCAATAGTCCTGAAGCAGGTGTAATCCAAGAGGTACAGTGACGAATTAGACTAATATTATGTTGCTTCCATATCCGTTTTAGTTACTTTACCTCTGATATTTTTTTATATTATGTGCATATTCACAGTTTATAGCTAAGGAAGGAGATACTGTAGAACCTGGTGCTAAGGTCGCAATCATATCTAAATCTGGTGAAGGTGCGACTCATGTTGCACATTCTGATGAAAAACCAGCTGAAAAGGCTCCACCACCACCTCCTCCTGCAGAAGAGAAAAAGGAGAAGCCAACTCCTAAAGTCGAAACAACTCCTGTTGCACAAAAGCCTAAAGAAAGTCCTCCCCCTCCCCCCAAACCCTCAGCTACAGAATTGCACTTGCCCCCTAAGGAAAGAGAAAGACGAGTAAGTCCAAAATTTTCACATTGCTCTGATGCCTCGAACAATTTGTATACTTGTGATATATTCATAACATCAGAATGTGCTATAATGTCAGGTGGCTATGACGAGACTTAGGAAACGAGTTGCCACCCGATTGAAGGATTCTCAAAACACGTTTGCATTGCTGACAACATTTAATGAAGTTGACATGTAAGTTTGTTTCTCCACATTTTTTTTTGTTTTTTTTTTTGTTTAAATTGATGGCTTCATACCATGTTGGTTTTTATTTGTGAGTTTCTGTTTTCTGTATATATTGAATATTTTACTATACACCTTCCGATAAGCCAATCTTTCTAAAATTCATTTTCGGCTGGTGTCTCAACCAATTAAGAGAATATCCCTATTACTTTTAATTACCCATAACTTCTTTTAAATAGTGTACCGACTAACAGTCACATGTTAAGTATTGCTCAATGAGTTGCTTGATGACCAGATAAACTTGGAGTGTTCAATATCTTATATTTTCCTGATAGACAACAAAAGTCTGACAGTGAATATTCTGATTTGCTTATAACAGGACTAATTTGATGAAACTTCGTTCTGATTACAAAGATGCATTTGCTGAAAAACATGGAGTGAAGCTGGGATTGATGTCCGGATTTGTGAAGGTATGCTAGTACCATTTTAATGTTCTTCCTCTATCCATGCGTCATGTTAAAGGAACTTGGTCTCTCTGACTTGCAGGCGGCTATCAGTGCTTTACAGAAGCAGCCAATAGTGAATGCTGTTATTGATGGTGATGACATCATCTACAGAGACTACGTAGATATTAGCATAGCTGTTGGTACCCCCAAGGCAAGATATTAACTATTGTTTTTATTCAATATATTGCTTATAGATAGAACTGAATTAGCTTAAGATTTTGCAGTACACCCCCATGAATCTTTGTACATCTATATTTCAACTCGTACATTGAAATTGGACTAAAGGAGTCGTATTTCAGAATAGATTTCTCTTTAGATGTGTGTTACTTTCAAGGGAATCTTATTTGTTTCGTGCACAAGAGCACAATCAAAGCTAGTTTTTTATTGATGCTGCCTTATCTTACAACATATTCTAGTAGCAATCTGAGGGTTTCCCGGTCTAATATTCTAAAATCAATTTATTATTTTTGTTAGGGTCTTGTTGTTCCGGTTCTCCGTAATGCTGAAAACATGAATTTTGCTGAGGTTGAAAAGGGGATCAACTCTCTTGCCAAGAAGGCCACTGAAGGCACAATATCGATTGATGAGATGGCTGGTGGAACATTCACCATTTCCAACGGTGGTGTCTATGGAAGTCTTCTCAGTACTCCCATCATCAACCCTCCTCAGGTTTGTTCTTCTCAGTCCCTTTACTAGTTTGTATTTCGTTTTCTTTTTTAAAATTAAATTCAAATCCTAAATGGGTAAGTAGAGTAAGGGCATATTCGAACCCCAGACTGAGTGATGGTCTCTTTACTGGTTAGTTCCTCTGATGGTCTTGTGTTAATTAGTTCCTACTTTGCGTGAGATTGTAGTCTGCAATACTGGGAATTCACTCGATTCTGGTTTCTTGTTATTATTTTAAAATAAATAAATTCAAATCCTTGTTACAAATGAGTCCTAGACCTTGAACCTAATGATCAAGACTAAGTACCAGCTTTCCTAATAAGTGTTGCTCTCTATTGTTTGGTTTCTATGTTTTTCTAAATGTTTTTACTCGAGTTAATTGCTTCATAATTTGCATGAAATTGTAGTCTGCAATATTGGGAATGCACTCGATAGTGAGCCGTCCAATGGTGGTTGGAGGTAACATAGTTCCGAGGCCAATGATGTACATTGCACTGACATACGACCATAGGCTGATTGACGGGAGAGAGGCGGTCTTCTTTTTGAGAAGAATCAAAGATGTGGTGGAAGACCCTCGTAGATTGCTGTTGGATGTTTGAAAATAAATCTGATGCAGCTTGATGAAGGGTGCTTGGATTTTATTATATATTGAATACTATGCTTGAGTGAATCAATCAATACCAACGAGTTTTTGGTGGTCAAAATAAATGCACGATATTTTTTAAAAAGTTTTGTAGTGTTTTTATTATTGCTTCTTCGTCGGACTGGAAGCTGTCGTTGTTTGCAGCTATATTTGAGATGGCGGATCTTGTCTGAATACAGACTCTGAAGGTTTTTCCATTTTCTCGGTATCGAAACAAATCCAATGTTTTTTCTTTATATATATAGTGCAACTGTGTTTGATAATAACACTGACAAGTGTGCCTATAAGGTTGAATGATTTGATTTGTGTAAATCACGAACACGATGGTTCTAATTTTCGGGTTTTCGGGTCTTTGATTTGTTTTGTCTGGTAATTCCAATTGCCAACCGTTTTTAGCATTTTCCAACCTGGTTCTTCGGTAATTTCTTATTCTAGGAGGGAGATGTTTGTAGTAATATATTTATAATCGTTAAAATAAACTGTACAGTTCAAAACCATTTACAGGCAAACCATTTTCAAATTCTTACAGTATAAATTTGTAGTTCACATCCATGGCATAACCTCAACAGACAACAATCATGTCGTCTAACTAAAGAAAACGGTATTTCACAAAATCAATTTCATCACCATTTTCAATACGAACAGAAATACTAAAATTTTACAAATTTGTTTTCATTTGTTTTTGCATTCTCGATTTCCTCGTTTCAAAATGCACAAATTTCAGAGTGCCTTAATAAATATCAGATACTTATCTAAGATTCTCTCCAAATAACCTTTTCAATATTACCGTCAGCTAATTTTTTTTTCTTTTTTGTTTTCGGCCAAGCTTGTATCCGAATCCGACAATTAGCTTTAAAAAAAATGAACCGGGATACCGCTAAATACTTTAGTTTAAATTTTAATTTAAAAAAAAAAGATAAAAGCCCTGAACAAGGTCTACATCATTAATCATGCCCATAAATCAGAATGGGTGCAAATTATACATGGTCCCCAAAATCTACGACTTTTGTTTCCAAAAACACGATATACATATCCGCCAAAAAAATATTACAGTAAAGACGTGCTTTGGCAGATGGAAACCATCCTTTAAAATCATGGTGCCCTCCATTGTCAAAAGACAAAAGTGCCCCTTAGGTTATCTTCAAGCTTTACGAAATTCGAACATATATTTTTTTTTTTGGATTTTTGCATATCCATTGCATGGCAATGACATTGACCTTTTTTCTTTTTTCTTTTTTTCCTTCAATCAATCTGTGTTTCTTAAACCGTTTTTTAATAAACTAAGATAATTATATGTAGATGTTACATCTGGTGGAATACAAAATAATTATTAAACTAAGATAATTATATATAGGTGTTACACCCGGTGTAATACATTCGGACTGATAAGCAGTGCCAAACACATACACATGTTCTTTCTTTTTGTGATTGTAATAAATTAATTTTGTGACTCGCATCACATGCATCGTGGGGCATCTACATTTAGAGCTATCCAAAATCAAAGGCTACGTTTAAACCAAATTCTTTCTCATATAAAACCAAATTCACGAGACAACTACTTTTGGGGCCAAGATTGTATCTGGATATATATATTTTTTTAATTTTTAATTTTAATTTTTCACTTTAGTAATAGGTCGATATATAAATATGTAGATACATGCCGTGTAAGTCTTGAATTAATTTGATAAGTATTGGATGACCACAAGATAAGTAATACGTTTACTGTCAAAAAAAAAAAAACAAAACAAAGATTATAAGTAATACGTGACAATTACATTGTGAGTGCACAATTCACAAATGATACTAAAAACATATATATTAAAAAAAATGATTAATTAAGATAAGATGAGGAGTTTATTTAGACATAACTTCATAATAAATAATTAATTAAAATTGATAGTTGAGCAAATGCTAAAGTAAGACTGAAACTAAGTTAATGACCCCACTTAAATAAAAATATTTTTTCGATTCTGCTTTGATGAAAATATATTAAGACAAATATAATTTTGTTAGTTCCGACTCTATTAATTTAATTTATAGATATTTAAATGTATACGTATCAGATTTTTGCTACGTGTATTATAGTTTAGTAGCGTGTATTAGAAGAAGTTACGGATACCACATATTAATTAGTAAAATTAGATTGTGTGTTGTAAATTGTAATTAAATAATATTGAGACTGGAATTAAATATATAAATATATATAGAGGATATTGCAACATGTAGATAGATTGAGATATTGTCATAATATCTTAGCCAAAGGGAAACCTTAAACCCTGACAAAGTGAAAATCCATCCTCTGCGTGCTTCTGAAACCTTCGCAACTAACGGAATATTCTACCGAATAACAATAAATAAGCAAAATAGGTATATCATTTTTTTTTATTATTAATTTTTTTTTTAAATAGAAAAATATAAGTTATTAGTAATTATCTTTTAGTTAACATGTCCAAATCTTTACATTCAAATGCAACCTCTCTAGTAGGGGTGTTCATTCGGAAATAACTTAACGAATCGTACTCGAATTTTGGTAAATTGGAATTTTGGAACTTCATATGCAACCTCTCAAGGGCCGGCAATTGAGCCGGGCCTAATTGAATTCCAATGACTCGACCTGATTACAATTTTTAGTCGAACCTTTTTTTTCAGTGAGTCAGGCCGAGTTTGAGATATTTTACTAAATCAGATTTATTTATGAACTGAGTTTGAATTTACTATGTCTCAATCCGAATAAGACCCGATCGATTAAGTTAATAATAAAATGTATAATATATTTATTAGTTTAATGATATGGCTCAACATAAAAGTTACAACCGTTTATGGTTTCATTGTATTCACTGGAGGTGTAAATCTTGTTTATCACTTGTTTTTCATACATTTTTTTAGTCATTACAGTTATATAATAATAAAGCCCGATGTAAACCCGAATAAATACACGAAACGAGTTTGAACCTAAAGTAATGAGGCCCGATGATATATGAGCTTGAGTCAACCCAAACTCAACTCACATGGCCCGTTTGTCAACCTTAGGCCAACCCTACAAAAGAATTACAAGAAATTGTGACAAGAAAAATGAGATGATACTATTCACATAAATAGCATAAAGATTAGGGGGTCATATGCAATATCTAAAAGCTTAAAAATTAACTTATTCTAATCACAAAATCGATTGATAAAAAAGAGGCTAACGTAGGAATGGTTAATGCCACATAAAAAGAGACAGAAGCCACCAAAATAAAGACACCCTCAAATCATTTGCATCATCTCTTATTTTCTCTCTAGATACCCGTGCAAATCCACCAACCAATTACCATATTTCCACGTGGGCCCCAGAAATCTAGGCAACCAATCATTTATTGCCATGTCAGCAGATAAGCCCCTTTACCATTAACTTTGAAATTCTCTTCGACTTATTACTGTTTTCAAATGTATGCCCATGATTAGGATTGGATTATTTGGTGATTTACTTAAATGCCCCTGTACTACAACGTGGAACAACAAAGTCCCCCACTCATTAATTATTGTATTTTTATATTTTATATTTATAAAGATATTTCGTTTTTTTTTTTTTTTTTTTTTTTTATATATATAATAAAATAAGAGCAACTACAAATTGAATTAGAGTGAAATTCTTATTTTTCATTTCTATGTAGTATTTTAATATTTCAATAAAATTCACTCACTTCAACAATACAATATATATATATAAAGTAAATAAAATTCACAATTTTGAAATATATTAATATTTATATTTGATAAAGTGGTTGTTGGATTTTTCCATAAAAAAATACATTTAAGAGTTTTTATGCCTACAAATATATAATAATGCATTTTTTGAACCCAAAATATTCAAGACACTAAAATAACGAACGATTGAAGGGAAAAGCTATCAAATTACGAGTTATTCTATTCGATACGTCCATTGGAGCTATTCTTTTAGATTGAATGTTTTTGAAGAGGAATCGAGATGGACTTACATAATTTTCGAATGATTCATAAAATTTTATTTTAGGAAAAGGGAAATAATTATACTACTATAAAAAATAGATAATTTTATTTTTATTATTTGCTCACGATGAAGCAAGTAGAGAAATTTCAATGGCTAAAAAAGAATTTCCCAAACCTCCACAAGAGTCGAAAAAGGTAGGGGTCTTTTTGTAACATTAAATAATTTGTACTGCGAAAAGTGCAAATACAGGCAGAGTTAAAAAAAAAAAAAAAAATTAAAAAAAATGTATGGTCCCATCACCCAAAACACTGTCCTCTCCTCTGTTATCATCATCTCCATCCATACCCTTCCCTCCCTCTGATTCTAGAGAGAGAAACAACTGAGCCTGTGTGTGTGTGTGAGAGAGAGAGAGCGGGGAGTGCGTGTAAATGTGTGTTTCTGATTTACACTCAGCATCTCACCACCTCATCCTGACCGTTTAATCTGATCCTTCCCCGTGACTCACTGTACCCCCAACATGCTATAGTATACTACACCTCTCTCTCTCTCTCTCTCTCTACCTTTCTCTCTCTAGCTAGCCCTCTCATCCCCCTATTTTCATGCTAAATATAAATACAGAGCATTTCCCCAGTCATGTAATTTCCCTTTATTCAGACCATTATTTTTCTTCCCAATTTCTTTACATATTTTTCCATACTTCTTTCAATCAAGATAGCATTCTACCTTTGATTCAAATTCCCAATGCATTTTGATGAAATAAATCTTTGATTTTGGTAAATCCAAGGTCAAAATAAACCCTTTTTTTTTGTTTTGGCTTTTACCACTCCATATTCTATTATATATTATACATATATAGTACCTTTTTTTCCAGGGTTCAGGGTTCTTGTAGTACGCACCTCATCAAAAACTCCAGTAATCTCAGACAAAAAAAATCAGCTGCTGATTTGCAAAACCCTTGTCCCCCAATCCTTATTCATCAGTTTCAGCAGAGTTCTTCTTACATGCACTGCAATTGGTCCAGTTCTTGAAAAAAATTCAAACTTTGGGTCAAAATTTTTCTGTGAGCAATGTCTTCTTCTTGTTTAAGAGGAGGTGGTGGGAGAGCATACAGATTGGAATCACTGGACCTTGATATAATCAAATCACCATCTTCAACAACTTCATGGATTTCAAACTCATCTTCTCCTTCATCAACTCTCTCTGAATCCAGCAACTGCCCTCTCGCAATCTCCACCCGGAAGCCGAGAACGCCTCGGAAACGGCCCAACCAGACTTACAACGAGGCGGCCGCGATTCTCTCCACGGCTTACCCTAAGATTTTCCCGACCAAACCAAATCCCTGCAAATTCACCAAATCGCATGGTGGTGGTAATGAAAAGAATCCGTTTTTATTCGAGACGTCGGACTTGCTTATGCCGTTTCGGGTTATGGATGACGGTTCGGGGTTTTTGCTGCATCCGCCGCCGCCGAAGGGATTTAATTTGGTGGAGAAGGTGTGCCGGAGCCCTGGGGAGATCGAGATCAATTCGCAGGGGAATTCCACCTCTGAAATCTGCGATGATTATAGGGAAGATTTCGATGCGGAATCGATTCTGGATGAGGAAATTGGGGCGGGGATTGATAGTATAATGGGGAATTCCGGTTTGGAAATTGAATTAAACGAGGGTTTCAATACCTGCAATAACAATATCCAGATGAACGGTTTTTGCTACGGATATCCGGTTGGGCTAGGGTTTGAATTTGGGAACGGGCTGAGGAGAGAACTCAGGCCGATGAGAAATGTCGACGAAGAAGGCGATTGGTGGAGGTTCCCCAGTGTGAATGCGCTCGATTTAGCTCCGGCGAATGCCAAGCCTCCGGCGACGGAGAAGAAGAAGAAGAAGAAGGTTGAGAAGTGTGTCGAAATCAAGCACGCAGAGCCGGCGGTGGAGGATTCGATCTCGAACCCTAATCCGGCCGGCGAGGACGATTCCGCCCCCAAACCAAATGCAGGACTGCTCTTGAAACTGAACTACGACACCGTATTGAACGCGTGGTGCGATAAGGGCTCGCCGTTTTCCGGCGATTCGCCGGCCGCTGATTGCGCCGCCGGAAGTGATGTCCAAGTATGCATCTAGAAAAACTGTAGTTAATAAACAAGCAAATCCGGTTTTAATTAAAAAATAAAAACAATTTATTATTGATATTTAATTGTGTTTTTGGGAATTATATATTATTTTAATTAGAAAAAATATGATTGGCTGGGTGCAGGCGAGGTTGGCGCAGATAGACCTGTTCTCGGAGAACGGAGGCATACGAGAAGCTAGCGTGCTCCGCTACAAGGAGAAACGCCGCACGCGCCTCTTCTCTAAGAAGATCAGGTACCAGGTACGGAAAGTCAACGCTGATCGACGCCCCAGAATGAAGGTTTGTGTTGACTTTTTTTTCTACTATATATATATATATATATATATATATATTATTTCAAAATATTTTTTTTGTAATAATATAATGATTTTTTGTTTGGTTAATAATGTTGCAGGGACGATTTGTGAGAACACCAAATTCATCCGAGGATTAAAGAGATATACAATGGAGCCAATTTATAGTTAATAGAAATCTATTTTTGTAGTTTTAATTAATTTGGCTTCATTTTATATATTTTTTGTTTTAAAGTTTTTATTATTAATATTATTATAGTAAATCTAGCCCAGGAGTAGAAATGATGAGGCTTGAATTGAAACAAAATTTGTCCCGCCTTTTTTTATACTCATTTTTTGGGGGATTTTTGTTGATATTTATTCGGCATACAACATAATCGAGCCTATCGAAGGGGCTATACAAAATCGGCGTCTTGATAATAAACAACAAATTATTCTAAAATTGTAACCTGATTGCAACTAATTTGCATTTACTTGTGAAAATTCCGTTGATAAAAATTAGCATTTGAGTTTGTTTTTCGGTATTTTTCGTTGTTAAAAAAATAATTAGCACGTAGAGTAATTAAATTTAACAAAAATATATATATAGATAGAGATACATGCTCCGTTGACCGTTCAGATTATTTCTATGCTATACGACTATATGTTCGGATATAAAAAAAAAAAAAAATCAAATTCATATATAGTTTTCTATACGATTAAAAACCAATATTAAATATAAAATTCAATAAATACAAAAAAAAAAAAAGATACGATTAAAAACCAAAAATTAAAATATAAAAATTCAATAAATACAAGATAAAATTGATGGGCCGTATTATCTTCTCATTCGCTTCCATAGAGATAGGCCCAGGCATTTCCGCACGCGCCGCTAGCCCACAACCATGACCTCCCCCGCGCCGGCGCCGGCCCCGGCCATCGCTTCATACTCAGCAGTCGGATTGGCCGATTTGACGTGCGTCATAAAGCAATTGGTAAATTCAGAGTAGACCAATTATAACGGTTGAATTGATCGAACCGGCTATGAAGACCTATCACATGACTGTGAAAAGTCCTGAAAGAAGTTCACCTTGTCAGAAAATATGAATTTTCAGGTCTCTCTCTCTCTCTCTCTCTCTCTCTCTCTCTCTCTCTCTCTCTCTCTCTCTCTCTCTCTCTCTCTCTCTCTCTCTCTCTCTCTCTCTCTCTCTCTCTCTCTCTCTCTCTCTCTCTCTCTCTCTCTCTCTCTCTCTTCTTCTATAAAAAAAAGCTGTTCATACAACTTCCATTCTAATCACAGTTAACTTCAAACATTTGACAAATGTTGATTACATTGTGTATCAAAATTAAGCTACTAATTACTGATGTGTTTTGTTTTGATAAGAATACTAATTAATGATGTTAATCATTTAATACTTTTACTCCAACATTAATGATCAAATTATGTTATGGCATTGTAGAAGGTGGGTACATCTTTGTTTTGGTTACCTAGAAAAAATGTTTCGTAATTTATTTTGTGGTTCGGATTGTTCTAAGTTTCGTTGTGAAAACTGAAAACTGTATTTGTCATAAAGTCATAATACTAGTTATCCTTGTATCAACTATTTTTCTAGTTAATTTTTCGATTCTGTTCGAGGGTCAATAATCATGGTAAAAAAATAATTGTGAATCTTGTTGAAGATTATACTCGTTGATACTTGTTTGGAAGAAGATTCATACTGAATAAAGGCATTTATATTTTAACGAAAGCCTTGGAAGTTTTATGAGAGAAAAAGGGCTTTTATCGTCAATCTAATTGCTCGATACGCCTCAACAAAACTGTATCTCAGCAAACAAGATAAAGCTAAACAATCTAATTGAAGTGTCATCTGTCATTAGTTTTCCGGTGCGTATTTTGTGTTATCCTTGGTGTGAAATAGGTTTAGCAACTTTTTATTTAGTCAATGTGATTCGCACACGTGTTGTAAACTAAATTCACCCTTAGAATGTCTTAAAAAATGTTTATCTTGAGATGCACAGTCCTTCATACGGTTACATACACGACTTGTCCTTGCGGTGGTAGCCTGAAATATCGACATATTTATCTGATTGAATTTTTTTTTCTTTTTTTTCCAGGTATCGACTTAGAGAAAGTCGATTTCTCTCCAAAGGATCAAAATTGTTGCAACTCGTGGCACTTTTCTTTACACATGCTGGCCAGCCAATTCTATTATTTATAAACCTCGATGATGATGTCATGTGAGGAATAATACTAGTAATGTAGTATATCTGGTACTGGTTACCTCATTCATTCACATTAGTTACTTGGCTTATTTCAAGACTCTGCATACTTTGTCAATGTTATGACTTTTGATGTTTGTGTAATAACAGTCAGATTTTTTGGTAAAATAATAGACAATATTCATTTTTCATGAGATGATTGTGTGAAATACTCTGTGAGCAAATTAAAAATTTATTCTTTAACAAACCTTCTGTTCATCTATATGGGTTATATATTTCAATATATTTTTTATTAGAGGCCCACTATAAGGACATGTACTTTCATTGCTATGCCACGTGTATATATATATATATATATATATATATATATATATATATATATATATATATATATATTTGTAGAGGCATAATAAATAACTTCATTCCTATAAATATACTCCCCTCCCTTTGTCTCTCTGCAAAGGAAAATCGCCAAATCCCTCCAAAAAAGCTTTGCTGATGCAACTGCTGGCTGCTGCAATGGCCTACTAACGGTATGAAACAATCTCCAATCTCTTATATTTTTTGGTTTATTTCTTTAATTTTATGTTCTGTTTACAAATTCATAAGGGAATAGTTCTAAACAGTTTTTTTTTTTCTTTATTGGGGTTAATTCTTGTTTGCTTAACAGTTATATATGAATTGAAATCTAGGGTGAGTGTTTGTTTAATATCCACATGTATATGGGCTTGTACTCGTTTGATTTATTATTGCAAAAAAATGTCAATCCTTTTCTGAAACAAAAGGAAACCCTTGAAGGAGAAAGTTTGGATTCAAATTTGCATATTGGGATCAAATGATTTGTGTTATGTAGAGAATACAATTGTTTATTGATGGGTTATTTCCTGAAAAAAGAGGGGCAATAATCTTTCCTTTATGAGGAAATGTTCTTGAAATTTGTTGGGTAATCTGATATGAATGGAATAATTTGGATACATAGATGTGACTTAGACTTAATGGGTTTTCATACAAACTATTCAAACTTGATTTTTTTTTTGTTTGGTTGATGATTTATTCGGTAAATTGTTTTTTTTTGTGGAGCTGCAAGAGTCCTATTTCAGGGTTTTGTCTTCCGTTTCTTTTTCTCGGCGAATGGAATATATATTGTGTTCTGTCAACTCTGATTATATCATTTTAGCAATTATGTCACTCTAATAGGCTTATTATCGTATGTTCTGCAGTTGACAATTTAGACAGGACGAAAAATAGCGATGTTTTCTGTTCCTTAAACCGCACAAGAAAATACTCGAAAATAATACAACGATGTCTCAAAATAATACACCGGCATTTGTATACCAACGCCGGGGGCATTATAGTAATTCCAATGCCGTTCACGCAATTGAGACATCTACCGGCTCCAAGCCTAGCGATGATGGCAGTCACTCTGCCGTCACTTCCTTTTTCGACCGCACGACAGAAGCTGTAAAGTCTCTTATTTCGCGCTGTGATACAAGGGCAACATCGTCCTTTAGCAACGATAACTGTTCGTCATCGAAATCGAACATGGTACCTTCTCACTCGGGCGAGTGCTCCTCTTCGAACTTGGTGTCGGAAAGAGATATATGTATTTCCATTATCAGAAATCAGGGACTTGTCGGTAAAGTTTGGACTAGACAAGAACAAGATTCTGCTGAAAATAGCGGTATTAGTAAAGATTACTACACTTCGAAGCCATGCAAAGTGTGCGAGCGTTTTGACAGTACATCGAATATGCTGATATGCGATAGTTGCTTATATGCGTTTCATATGTCTTGCTTTAATCCGTGCGTAACGAGAGTACCAGTTGGTGAGTGGCTTTGTGGTTCTTGCTTGAACAAGAAGCGTAAGATATTGAACGAAACATCCAGTGGTGATTCGGTAAATATCCGCATGGAATTAGGGTCCGTGGAATTTATGTTGAGAGACAAAGAGCCGTATATGTCTAGTGTGCGAGTTGGCGATGAGTTTCAAGCTATTGTTCCTGATTGGTCGGGGCCCGTCTACAAGTATGTTTTCTTGAGCAACGTTTATGCACTTGAAATGTTGGTTTTTGTTATTATAAGTACTGTTATTCGTTTATTCTGTTTTTCCGTCTATTTTTCTCTGCAGTTTCTGTCTTCTTATTTCAGTTTTATTAATGGTTCGATAATCGCTCCTATTTTTCTGACTTTTACATTTACTGATCCAGTGAACGCAGTCCTAGTGTTGATTGGTTAGATGAGGACCTTTCGGATAATATTAGCTTGCAGGTAAAAAAACATTTGTACTATATGATTTTTTTTTACCACGGAATCAAACAGTCGAGCGTGTTTATATATATATGAGGAAAGTAAAACATGGAAAATGTACGATGATTATTCACAGGAATGGAGTAGTTACACAAAACCTTTAAAGCTTAGCTCTATCGGTAACTGGCTTCAGTGTCGAGAGTTCATTCAAGGCAGTGATGAAGGAACTATATGTGGAAAATGGCGCAGGTAATTAAATAAATACTATTGTTGTTGTTCTTTTGTGATTTTTTTTTTCAATTTTGACATGAAATTTGGCACTTTTTTTTCTTCCGGGGCTGATTAAACAAATTCAGCTTTGGATTAATAAAGAGAAAATCAGTCACTGAAATTAATGAAATAAATATATATAATGCAGGGCTCCTCTTTTTGAAGTACAAAATGATGATTGGGAGTGCTTCTGTTGTGTTCTTTGGGATCCTTGTCACGCCGATTGTGCTGCACCCCAGGTATTTATCTCGCTCGTCTAATTATTTCGTATATTTATGTTTCCGTTTTTACATATTTATATATTCTTATGTAATTGATCCCAATTCATTGTCTTCTCTAAATTTGATCATAAATTATATCTGATTTTCTGTTCAAACATCATTTTCATTAAATATTGCAGTAGTTATGTTATATATCTGAAAAAGGTTTGTCTAATCATTGGTTCAGGAAGTAGACACTGATGAAGTCATGAAGCAACTAAAGTATATGGATATGGTATTTTTTTTTAATGTTTAATATTGGCAGCATTAGATAATTATTACTACTGTAATTTATTTTATTTTTATTTTTGCTGTGCAGTTGAGACCTCAGCTAAGGGTAGATGCGAAAAGGCGCAAGTTGGATTGTTCAAAGAGTGTGTAAACTTTGGTAAGATCGACGGTGAAGATTGGAATCAAGAATATTCCGATTCCGTCGATTTTGTTCCATTTTTTTTTTATTTTAGAATATAATTTTTTCAATTCATTCATTCTTTTTTTTTTTTTTGTAGAAATGTGTGGACAAAAGTCATGATTAATCATGTATAAATTTCCAGAAGTAAGAAATCTTATTTTCACAATGTTGACAAAAATGCAATCAAAATTGTATTCTTCACACAGTTCTCCAAAAAATAATCGAAAACACTAAAAACAGAACAAAAAATAACACCAAATGTTGCGACTTCTCTGATGCTGGAAATATATCTAAAAAAAAAAGTTCAAGACGATTCGTAACTCCTTTACTTTATCTATTAATATAATCTCATTCTTTACTAACGAATTTCAATATAATAATACACGGTTACAATTATGTACAACTCACTCCAAAAATTTTAAATTTCGGAGCTCTCGAAACGGTGTCTACTCACCCCCGAAAAAAAAAAGAAACAGAAAAACACATCCATCTCTCCGATTGCAGAGAAATAAATGCCATAGTAAAAAAGTTTATAAAAAAAAAAAAATCGAAAAACGGGAGTCACGTTTTCTCCTTGAGTTGTGCTATTGGTACAAGAATAACAGATAGGTGAGTTGAGTTAGTTTTATTACCAAATCTCCTTATTGGAAGTTGAAGTAGACTCTGCTGCAAATTTTCGACTCTACTCTTCATTTCGCAAAGCCTTTCCATCTCTCTCTCGAAAGCATCTCGTTTTTCGTCTAACTCCGATTTCTTCTTCCTATTAGCTTTCTTTGCTTTCTCTCTCAACTGTTTCAGGCTCACATCTTCTCCAACATCCACACTCATCTGAAAATCAACGAGCACCACAAAATAATACAACAATGAATCACAGTAGATACGCAAACGAGTTGTCGGGGTTTAATCCAGCTGTACCTGGTTACTATTTGCTGCTGTCTGTAACAATCGTTTATTACACTGCTTTATTTCGAAAGAATTGGTCAGCAAATGGGAATTCCTTCTTTTAACAAACTTGTGTGAGCTTTTTGGATTCGGTGATGTCGTATTTTCCGATGATTCCGTTCGATAAAATTGGACGTCCTTTGAAGTTTCCGATAAGGATTCCTTTTCAAGAACGGGACTAACGTTCTCAGATACTTGTGCTCTTTCTGCCTGTTTCATGGTTAATAATTACTAACTTCGATAATCCCGTCTCGACAATTAGGCAATGAACCTAAACACAAAAATCAATATATAGAAAAAAAAAAGAAAAAAGAAACCGAGATTTTAATGAGGTACCGACTTGCTTTCTTGCCCTCAGTGCTAAGTAACGTGCGTTCTTGAACCATTTGTTGACCTACAAAATGGAAAAATTAAATAAGTTGGCAAACTTATACGATTTCTTGCAGTAAATCTATTTATTGTTTTAATAATCCCGTCTTAAAATTGAACCATACATTACCTTCTCGAATTCTAGGCCTAACTGCTCCGAAAGACTCATTCTTAAAGTTCTTGCCGGTAGTTCGTTCTCAGCAAAAACAAGTCGAAGCTTCTGAAACAGACAATAGAGATGAGCATCGAAACCGAAACCGATACCATGCGAATTTAAAAAAATAAAAAATAAAAAATTCTATGTTACCTCAACTGCATTATGTGGGAGTCTGAAAATCGGTCTTCTCATCTTCTTAATAAGCCGATTCTCGTCCAATTCCGACGCTATTTCTTCCGAATTCTTTTCGTCAGTCTCGCCTAGTGTCATAAGAGTGCTCGCAGCATCGCTCTCCTTCACTTTCCGTTTCCTTTTTGTGGGCCCCCACTCTTCGTCGTCACTAATTTGCTCACTTTCGGTAGCATACTTTCCAAACATTTCCTTCAAAAACAAAAAAAAAAAGCAACACAAAAACATAAGCACATCCCACAACTCGAATCGAACAAAAAATAAAATAAATATTTATTTTAGTACTCACATTATATAACTTGATATAGTCGACCGATGCTCGTTGTCTTGGATGGCTCACAACTTCGGCATTGTTGATATCATCAGAATCTTCTCCGATCAACTCGAGAGAGTTATCAACAGATCTGCCGCGTCTCTCTTCAACTATAAAACTGGAGCTGCAATCAGATGCACCGCACTCGGATTTAGACGCACTTTCGCTGCAACTGTATTCGTTTCGATCCGGATCATAGTCATCATCTTCAGAATCATCGGACGGCCATTCGTCACCCTGGCACGACATGTAATTTCCACCATCGGGTAATGCAGCTTCCTCCTTGAAAACATCCTGTTTTACACGGGAGATTCATTTTACGAAATCGTCTGCAACGGTTGATTCCATTAGAGAAAAAAAAACAAAAAAAAACAAATACCTCCCAAGAACTGTCGACGGGAAAATGAGTCCCGAGGTGAGCATTTGTCGCTTCCAATATTTCCATCTTCTTTTTGCAGAATTTACAAAACCACCCTTGATCCCCAGGAGGGACTGGTAAAATTATTACAAGATACTTCAGCATATGGTTATATACCTAAAAACGTAAGAACTCGAAAGTCACTGTCGTAAGTAATAGGTGTAAGAACGCTCACTGTTTTCAGTTGACAGCGGAGGATCGATACACTTTTGGTGAAAAGCACAGTTGCATGTCCCGTCACACAGTATAATGTCGTTATCCGGGAGAGCTTCTCGCAACTTACATTTGGCACAAATTATCTGAAACATTTCAAGTAAGAAATTCACGAATCCTCTACTCAAAAACGCATTCTTAATTACACAAACGGAAAAAAAGATAAAAAAGGCTTTACATGTTCGTGGTGAACAGATCCATCAGGAGCAACAGCAGAATTACTAATTTGCCCTTTGGAACTAAGCAAATCCAGTTGATGAATTGCCTCACGTATGCCTAGTTTGTACTTCAGTATCTGCATCTTGGCTCTTTGCAGTTCCTTCTCTGGTCTAATCTTTTCTCGACTGAACGAAAAAAGAAGACAGAAAATCATATTTGTGCAAGACGATCGATTTTGTTTCTCATTCAATAATCTGCAAAAACCATTTGAACTCTGGAAAAAAAAACGGATTTTTTTTTATTACCTCTGACCTTTCCAACCTTCAGCAGAGTAAGCATCAAGAAGATTCTGCTCGAGCTTCATTCTTATTAACAAGTACCTCGTCCTTCTCTGTAATTTCGAAGCTTCGTCGAGCTCGACGTTGTTTTTCCGTTTCTTTCTACTTCTCTGTTTCTTTGAGTTTGAAAGGTTTTCATCTCTATCGTCTTTTTTCTCAATCTTCTTCTTCTTCTTCTTGCTAATCGTTGCAAGCTTTTCTTTCAGGCTAGTCAAAGAAGGTTGCTTTTTCGAGGTTTTCGTCTTACACACGATGGCTTTCTTCACAATCTTCCTCTTCAAATTCGTATTGCCGTTGCATTCGTGTAAGAAGCTACCGACTTTTCTCTTACGGGGTTTCAATTCTTGTTTCAAGCTTTGCAAGGTTCTCTCGTCGTCTTTTCTACTCGATTTCCGACGCGCTTCTTTCTTGGCCGATCCGGACATATCGAGTGCACAATTCAACGAAGCATCAAACTGAAAATTCATCGAAGGGGGCGAAATTCATCAAAAAGGTTCTTCTACTAACTTATAAAAAACTAAAGAATCCCAATTCAAGAACCCTGATCACCTTAAAACAAAACCTAATAGAAAGCAATCAGCAAAATTGAAGTCTGATCAATCACATTGAATTGAAATCACACGAAAATAAACCCGAATAACTGCGTAAAATTGCCCAAATTTGCAAACAGCAAAATTGCAAGTTTGATCAATCACATTGAGTTTAAATCACACGAAAATAAACCCGAAGAACTGCGTAAAATTGCCCAAATTGGAAAGTTCTAGAAAATCCCAGATGGAAATACAACAAGATTTAACTACAAAAATGCTCAATAAATTGAATAGTAAATGTTCAATCAAAAAGGGAATGTAAGAAGGGAAAGTGGGTAACCTCGGATAAAAGATCTGCAGAGCATATGTAAAAAGGGATGATTTTGAATTACAATTGATTGAAGAGTACTTGCTGAAGTTAATTTTTTTTCTTTTTTTCTTCAAAATTTGAAGATAGGGGATTACGAAAATCGGTGTGGCGGAGCAACTCGCCGGGCGGTGGTTCTTCCGATTCACGGCCGGCCGGCCAGCCGTCTTTTCACTGTGTGTAATTTGTGTGTGAGTTTCTCCCAATGCACAAACTCTTGATTCTGAACTTGTGTTTCTACTTCATTTCTTTTATTTATGCAAACTTCAATTTGTTTAGATGGCAATTATTCAAATACTTTCTTGCAATTCGAAACCAGAAAAAAAAAAAATTTATTGGGAGTTTGATCCTATGATTAATCTTTATGATTAGGGTGTAAATTGGAATAAAAATTATTGTAATTAGAAGTGGAAATTGGAATAAAAGTAATAGATTTCACATTAATTTTGATTCTCATATTTTTCTTGTCTAACTTAACCCTTTATTTATTTTCGGTCGTCTCGAATAAATTATATGTCACACGTGCAATTTAATTGAGATGACTGAATTCTGATTATTTGTGCTATGATATGACTAAAGTTTTATTATACAACTACTTTTTGAATTTCTTGAATTTTCAAATTGTACAACATTTAAAATATTTTAAACAAAAGTATTACAATTTTAGTGCAGATTTTAATCAAATTAGGGTGAAGAAAATCGAATTTTGTTTCTCCTATTTTGCTACTTATTCTCGGCCACCCCTACTAGTGCACACATGAATTAATTAAATTCAATGTGTGCAATCATGAGTGTAGAAGTCTTTTTAGGGGTCAATTTTAAGTTTTAATGAGTAGCATTCTAAGCATTATCTAAAAAGAACATTTACTTTACCTTTGATTTGACCCGCAACTTTGTTTAAATACTCATTTAGACCCATCTCTTTTTTTATTTCAGATATTAAATATTTTTGCAATTCAGCTTGAAGAGCATTTGAGACTGACTGCTTTTACTTTTTCGTTCTTTTGATCTTAACTTCAAGATTCATTTCACGTGACTTGAGACTTCCAATTACTTCATCTAATCTCATTAAGTATGTGTATTTAGCTTCTTCGATGACAATCGTCACCGTTATGTTGAATCTTTCAAGAAGTGTTCTCGGGACTTTGTTCACCAATGTTTCATTGCTTAGAGGGTCTCCCAATGGCTGAAACTCATTTGCCATATCGATCAACTTCTCGTTGTAATATTGAGAAATAGTCTCACTATCCTCAGTTCGTAACCTCTTGAACTTTGACGAAAACAGTCTGAGTTTGGTCCTTCTGGCTCTATCAGACCCTTCACAATATAATGTAGTTGTAGAAGATTCTAAACTTCTTTCACAAACGTACAAATTGAGATTAATTTGAACATTGTAATGTCAATTGAGTTGAAAATGACATTCAATGCTTTGGAATTGTAGCTGATAGTCTGCTTGAAGCCCACTCAATTCTCACCATTTTCATCAATCGTAGTGGGTGGACTGATCTCCGGACTCTTTCATCAATGGATTTTAACAGTAGTACATCTTTTATCGTGTATGTTTATTCAATTATTCTACTTGATATTGTATGTTTATTTGTGTCACGTAGCATACGTCTATACAATAATAAATTAAAATCATTATCGACAAATAAAATATCGAAAATTTCTAATATAATCAAATAAAAATATTATTAGGAAGGATAGGGGTTGATTAGTATCAAATTGAACCAACTTCTTGAACCAAGGACCGATTCTTGCATGTCTTAATAATCAATTTTGTGATTTTGTCATCTATGCCAAAAGATATAATCCAATTATATATATATATAAAAATCAAAAAATAAATAAAAAAAAGCCCATGATTGGGAAGAGGCTATAACTTCCAACAACTAACAAACGACCAAAAGTACAACTGTCACACATCATTCCTCATTCCTCACACGTGCGAAATAAAATGTCCTAAAACAGATAATAGATAGATTATAGATAGAGAGAGAAAGAAAGAATCAATTGATCTTCTTTTTCTTTCTTTTGGTTATATCCAGAAGAAGAAAGGATGAACATACATGCATGCATCACAATTGAGAAACCCTTTTCTCTCTCTTAAATCTCTCTCATCTGTTCATCACCCGAGATTTAATTCCACTGGGGATTATTATTAATTATTATTAATTAATTAATTAATTAATTAATGGTGAATGATATATGTTAATTAATTCATTCATTCATTCACTCTGCAATTTTGATATATAAATGGAAAGTTTCAGAAAAGCATATGGTGCTCTAAAGGACTCCACCAAGGTTGGCTTAGCCAATCTCAACAGTGAATTCAAGGTTCGTTTTCCTAACGTACGCTTTTCGATTTTCCTGATCATGGCTTTTTTTTTTTTTCTTTTTTTTGCATTTATATGTAATTTTGTGGATGCAATTTCTAAATAACTAAATCTGTTTTTTTGGGGTTCTTTAAATTTTTATTATTATTACAAGGATCTGGATATTGCGATTGTCAAAGCAACGAACCACGACGAATGCCCCCCTAAAGAGAGGCATGTTAGAAGTGCGTGCAATTTAATTTTTTCGTTTCGAGATTTTTCTATGTAGTTTAGATTAAACAATCCTTCATTTTTTCGCATTTTTTTCTCGTAGAGATATTTGCAGCGGTATCTATAAACCGTCCACGAGCTGACGTTGCGTACTGCATTCATGCACTTTCGCGCAGATTAGCAAAGACGCGCAATTGGATCGTAAGTTTTTTTTTTTTTTTTTTGTAATAATTAATTAATGATGATCATAAAATAAAAGTTGATGGTTATTACATAATTAAAATATTACAAAATTCAGGTAGCAATAAAGAGTTTGATAGTTATTCATAGAACACTAAGAGAAGGAGATCCTACATTTAGAGAAGAATTACTACAATACTCTCACAGAGGAAAATTGCTACAAATATCCAATTTCAAAGATGACTCCAGCCCTCTCGGTAATTAAATTAAATTAAAAAAAAATCGATTTTTCTCGACTAGTAAATTTAATTTAATAAATATATACACGATGCATTCAGCTTGGGATTGCTCTGCTTGGGTTCGTACGTACGCACTCTTCTTGGAAGAAAGACTCGAATGTTTTCGGACGCTGAATTACGATATAGAAGCTGACAGAGTACCGAAATCGGCTCCCGGAGTAGTTTCCAAGGCATTATTTATTTTATTTCATTTTATTTTATTTTCAAATTATAATTAAAATTAATCAAGTGTTACTTATTTCCTTATTTTAATTTTTTTTTGTTTGTTTTTGTGTAGACATATAGCAAGACGCGGTTAATGAACGGTGACGAATTGTTGGACCAGCTACCTGCATTGCAACAGCTTCTGTATCGCCTCGTCTGTTGCCAGGTAATTAAACATTATTCGATATGTTCGTCGATTCTATTTATTTATTTATTTTTATTTATTTTTATTTATTTTATATGTGGTATAATAAATTTTGCAGCCTGAAGGATCAGCCTGCCACAATTTTCTGGTACAATATGCATTGGCTCTGGTAAGAAATTTACTGTGAAATTCTGTAGTTTTAAAAATCAATTGTTATTAAAAAAAATTTGGTGTTGAAATTGGTGCAATATTTGGTGATGCAAGGTACTAAAAGAGAGCTTCAAAATATACTGTTCGATTAATGACGGTATCATTAATCTCGTCGACATGGTAATTAAAATCTATTTTACATCCATCTGCATTTAATTAAAAAGTTGTACTAATACTCATCAAGGAATGCAGTTCTTCGAAATGCCGAAACACGACGCAGTGAGGGCTCTAAACATTTACAAGAAAGCCGGAAAACAGGTCTGTTTTAATAACATCTCGCGAAACCGCAACAAAGTATATTTCGAAAACGCCACTAGATCACAACGATAACTGATCTTTACGTTGGTTTGTCTAGGCAGAACATCTAGCCAATTTCTACGGATTCTGCCGAAACTTGGAACTTGCTAGAACCTTCCAATTTCCTACACTAAGACAGGTTCTAATTCGTCACCTTATTTTTTTTATTCCCATATTACCCTTCTGTCTATATATACACGGCTTTTTCGATAATATATGTATGGTTGAATATGCAGCCGCCTCCGACATTTCTAGCAACGATGGAGGAGTATATAAGGGAAGCACCTCAAACAGGCTCTCTTTCACATAAAAGATTGGTAATTACATATTTTCTCGATTTTTTTAATCGCTCGCTATTATCACGACTTTGCCACTTACTTTTGATTATGTGTGCATGTTATATATATTTTGTATGGTATTATAGGAATATAGAGGAACGGAAGAAGAACCGGAAGAAGAACCCGAGACGCCACATCCACAAATAGTCGAGAAAAAAATCGAAGAAACCGAAGTCAAAGAAGAGATACAAGAGGAGCCGGAACCCGAGCCGCCTACGATCGAAGAAGAAGTTCCTGTACTGCCAGTAGTAGCTGATGAGCCTGCAGATTTGCTAGCAAGTTTCCTTTTTCTATATTTTTCAATTATTATTTACTTATTTATTTATTTTTTCGCAATTTTTTTTTTAATTTCAAAAATTAAATTCTATTATGCAAATTTTGTGCAGGGGTTGAATAATGAAGTACATCCACATGCCTTAAAATTAGAGGAAAGCAATGCATTAGCCCTTGCAATTCTACAGCCTGGTCAGTAGTATTCTTTAATTTTTTAAATTTATTATTTATAGGGTAAATTACAACCGCCCCTGAGGTATGATCAAATTACGAGAAAACCCCTCTTATTTGAATAATTGCAGGCTATGATCCACCATCAAATAACAATGCACTAGTTGAGTTAGGAAAGACTTCTGGTTGGGAATTGGCTCTTGTTACTGCACCAAGCAACACTAGTAAACCCCATCAAGTTCAAGAAGCCAAAATGGTTTGTCCTCGGGGGCCACGGCCCCCGAACCCGTTTATTTTTTTTTTTTTTTTTTGCAAATAATATAGTAGTACTGAAGGCCTTGAAGGCCCCACTTCTCGTGTACTTTTATAATAATGATAATTATAATTATTATTAGGCCGGTGGATTTGACAACTTGCTGCTCGAGAGCTTGTACGAGGATAACGCGGCGCGGCGAACGCTGCAGCTGCACAGTGCGGGCTACAACACGGGCTATGGATACGAAGCGGGAACGGCGACCCAACAACAACAACAACAAAACCCGTTGGATCAAATACACGACCCGTTTGCGATGTCGAACAACGTAGCGCCCCCGACGAACGTGCAAATGGCGATCATGTCACAACAGGAGCAAATGATGATGATGCACCAACAACAACACCACCAAATGATGATGTTGCATCAGCCGCAGTATTCTTCCGGGGATAACCCGTACGGGGCCCACAACCCGTACGGGGCCCCGTATTCTTCGGGGGATAACCCGTTTGGCGACCCGTTCAATTATCCGCAGAGTAGTGCTATTCAACAACACAAGAACGACACTTTGATTTAGAGTTCATTTGTTTATTATGTATTTAATTAATTTCTTGATTTTTTCCTCCTTATTCTTTGATTCTTTTGGTACAAGTTTGATGGAGACTTTGTGATATTATACACAAGTGAACATAATTGATGGTATATTGTATATATATTATGTAAAAGTAGTGACGTAAGCAAGATCAATTAGTTTTGGCAAATTACGGTCAACAGGTCAAATTACGATTTTTTTTTTTTTTTGATAATTATAACTCTTGAATTATGTATTTTTTTTGGATAGACGTGAAAGACAATACATAATTGAGGGGATAGTTGTAATTATCAAAATATGAAGGAGCTTTTCGTAATTTAACTTTATCTTAGGGTGTTGGCCGTAATTTGCCCATTAATCTTTATTGTTGGTATAGTGTGATTGAATATTAATTAATCATTTTTGACCAACAAAGAAACATGGCCTAATCTTTATCTTAAAGTCTGGTCACGCCTTCGTATTTGAAAATATAAAGTGTTTGATTTTTTTTATTAATTGAATTTTATTTCTAATTATTTTTTCGTAAATGGCAATAAATGTATTTGCATTTGTATTTAAAAAAGCCAAAAAAAAAAAAAAAAAAAAAGAAAATCTAAGAAACATTGCACAAGATCTCATTGGGCGGGCCTCCGGAGGATCCAGATTTTGACCCTGAACCGGAATCCGGTTACCGGATCCGGATTTATCTAGATTCCCCGCACACACACACACACACACACACTTGATACACCTATATATACAGAAAAAAAAGATAGAGTAATGGGTAATTTATCACTCATTTATTTTCTCTCTCTAGAAACTGCATTTCACATCTTTCCATATTTTTCTCTCTCTAAATTTTCATTATCTATGGCGATGTCTCGATTTCTGTCCCAATCTCTCCTCCGCGCATCTCTCCGCCCTCCAACCGCCCTAATCAGCCACCACCGCCACCGCTCCAATAAAAGCCACCAGTCGCAGCTCATCGAGGTGGACCTCGACGGCGCGTCCTCATCGCAGTCGGATTCGCCGGAATCCTCCGCTGAGGTCATCACTCTCGGCATAAAAAAGCTCGAGGATGCAATCCACAGCATCATCGTGCGCCGCGCCGCGCCCGATTGGCTCCCCTTCCTCCCTGGGTACTCCTACTGGGTCCCACCGCGCGGCACCTCCATGCGCAACCACCCAGCCGGAAGTATGATTGAGGTCATCGAGAAATTAAATTCTTCTAGGGAAACGAGGAATCAGCGGCTACAGCGCGATTTGTTGTCGGAGGACGAGCAGATGTCCCTTACGTCTGCAAAAGGATGGCCTTCCACCGCTGTTTTCATCGAAGGTAATCAATTAATCAGGATCACTCGATTAATTGAGATTCGTTTTTGGGTGAAATGGATTTATAATATTGAAAGTAATAAATTTCTTATGGTTGTGAAATCTGATTGAATAATTATATACATGAAATAGGTTGTTTTGAATTTTGATTCAGGAATAGTCGATTTCCAGATCTAGAATGGTCGAATAAATGACGAATCAATTAGGTTTTCCGGACACTAACAGAATAAGAAAAAAACTTGCATCTTTACCACTCTCTCATGAGGAATTGAAATTAGGTTAATTTTTTAGGTTATGAAATTGGGATTCTCAAGTAGTATCCCAAGTGGAGTTATCAGCCATTCAATAACATATCATCATAAGTCAACTAGATGCCCAGAAATCCACTAGTTGTTAGCATGTAATTTCTCAGATGTGTTTTTTATTTATGAAAAATTAGAATTTTTTTTAGTATGGTTGTATTTAGGGACATTGGATTGGAGATGTGGATTAAGATTTTTGTCAAATTTCAGGTCTACAAACACTTTTTTTAGATGGTAAATAGGAACCTAGTAAACTCTTTATTTATCAAATTATCCTTTTGTGTTCGAGGTGTAACTAGTGGAATCCGATTAATGTTTCCCCAATCAATCATAAGTTTAAAGTAACGAAGGTGCCTTATAATAACTCGCAATTAGTTGGGGAAAAAAAACTAGTTTTGGCTTGCCACTACTTATATCAGGAGAAACTTAGAATTCTCTGCCATATACTACTCAGCATGGTCGAAAATCTCAATATGAAAGTTAAGCAATTAAAACCAAACATAGCTTTGTTGTTTCTAGTTGAGAATTTCTTTTACCGGTTAAGTTGATTATATCATCTAATCCATGGCCCAATAGAACATTGAAGAAAACAGAGCCAGAGGGAAAGGAGGGTTTTGATATATATATATATATATATATATATATATATATATATATATATATATATATATATATATATATATATATATATATATATATTCGGATAATTTTCTACTGGAACTTTAAATCATCAATGAATAATCAGCTGTCCATAACTTGGTAATGTTTTAACTTTTCCGCCAATTAAAAGCTGATTTCAGCGGAATTTAGTTTGGACTTTGGACAGCTGGAATTTAGTTTTGAAGTGAAACAACTGTAATTTTTTGAAGAGGGCAATACTCATTTGTTTTACGACAGTTGCATATATATATATATATATATATATTCTGATGTATGCTCTTTTGCAAAGCAGGTACTTCACCCGTACATCCTATACCAGTGGTGCAAATGAGTGTGACAATTCAAAATAACGAAGACAGTGCAGACGACGCATCTAGCTCCGAGGATGAGGAAGGATGAAACGTACCTATCATCGGATGTGTTCTGCCTCTTAAGGTGCGTTAGTTTGTGTGTTGACTTCTGTTTAATATATATTTAGAAAATTAAGATGTATTGTCGGTCTGAAAGTTACATGTCTTTGCTGGGGTATTTGTGTCTGATTTATGCAGTGCACACCATTGTAGATATCGAGAGAGTGGAGAAGGGGAAAACGGAGAAACGAAGATGAAGGAGAAAATGTGTACATATGGATCCTTTTGCAGAGCTTTGCATGGAGTGCTTTTGATGTTGTTCGACTTATTTATAAAAAACGTCTGCTCGGCAGCTTATTCTGCTTCCCTAGAGAATGTGTATATTATTATTAACATTTATGTTGTTTCTGCAAAATAGTTGTAGACTTTGTAGTTTTCTTTGCATGGTTAAAAAAAAATCAAATAACTGTCTGAATAAATTAAATGCTTTCTTTAGACTGCCTCTATTTATTTGCTGTTGGCTTGTTATTATTGCTGATTTCTTAGTTTTCAATTTTTTTTTTCTTTTTGGAATGAAACTAGAATGCATATAAAATTTCGAATTTTTAATTTTCGAAAATATTTCCTTCAAATGCTATTTGTATATCGGCCTTCGGATGTTATATTTTGGGGTTTTAGCTTGTAAATTCCTTTTGCGTAGTTTCATATACGTTTTAGTTCTCGCTCCTTATCTGTCTGAAATGTCTGAAATGCCCTTCACTTTGTTTCAAAATTCCAACTGCAATGTGAAGTTGAAGTCTAATCCCTTATATTTTTACCGAATAAACTGCAAATACTACCCCTGTGTTATCTCGAAATAGTGAAAACCCCCCTGTGATAAATAAACTAGCAAAAACCCCCCTGTGAAATTTAGTCAAAGGCATAAACCCCCCTAGCTGATTTTTTAGACTTGAAATGACAAAATTGTCCCTCAAAATGTATTTATATATATACATATTGTATGTATATTTCTTCTTTTTAATTTGTTTGTTTAGAAATAAAAAAAATAGCAAACAACTAAATTGATTGTTTTTTAAATAAAATAATTAAAATAATTATAAGATATAAGAATTTATTAATTGCAAGACTCCAGGGGTATTTGTGTCTTTTTATATCAAGTCAACCTTCAAATAGTTCCATAGGGGGGTTTTTGCTATTTAAATAATTTCACAGGGGAGGTTTTTGCTAGTTTATTTATCACAGGGGGGTTTTTGCTATTTCGAGATTATACAGGGGTAGTTTTTGCAGTTTACTCTATTTTTACCACATGTACCTTTTTTTTTTTCTAAAATGAAAATTATGTTCATTAATTTTTTTAATTTCAACTTCACAATTTAAAAAATCAAAATTAGTCTCCCTTCCAAACATAATTCCACCACTGAAATAATAATAAAAAAAATTAAATTATAAACAAATATTACTTTGTTATCCCAACAAAGATTACTTTAATATTTAAATTATATTTCAATTTAATTTTAAATAAAATAGAAACTTAGCGGCCAAACATAGCCTTGGCTCTTCCGTTACAAACAACGAAAGTGACTAAACAAAAGAAAAAAGGTAAAAATAAAAAAGCAGTCTTTTTGCCTCTTTGGAAATTTCACACAAGAAATTAACAATGGCGGAAGCCCCGGAAATGCAGCTCTTAAATTCATCCTCCGATAAACCTTCTTCTCAAGACTCTTTCAATCACCAAACCCAGGTTATCGTTCTCTCCATTTTTCTTCTTTCAGAATTTAGGGTTTCTTTTTGGTTAAAATTAATTTTACTTTTTGCGCATTTGATGTGGATTTTTTTTTTTTTTTTTGTTTGCGATGGGTTCTGTTGAGCTGTACTTTTTTCCTCTTATCATTTGCGTTTCCAGTTTCATTTTTCGTGGTGCAATTGTTTATGATTTTGCTTATATATAGATTTGATTTTTTTCAAGTGTTTAATCTATTTAAATTATACCATCAGCGTTTCTAGGGTTTTGCAAGTATTTGGGGATTTTCAGCTTAGGAAAACAGTTCACCGTAGATCGATTACTGTGATTTTCTTTTTTTTTTTTACACTTTGTGATTGGCTGAGTATTGGTGATGATGATTTGAGGTTTTATGTGGTGTTCTTACACTTCATTTTTTCTGTAAAATCTACCTGCATTTGCAGTGTTCATTTCGATTCTTATTTTATCTAATCTCTTACGATTCTGTCGCAGGCACCGGCATTTAATGGTTTAAATTTACCAAATGGGGATATCCCGTTTTCCGCTTTCATGTATCCTGGAATATTCCCTCCTCAACAGGATCAAGAACCGATGGATCGTGGGCCCGGCTTATATGCTGTTCCAGTTCATCCGTTTATGCAGCCTATTGTCGGAATTCCTTCCAATGCTCTCATCCCGTTTACCTACAATTTGCCAACGTAGGTTTCTTGCATTGTTTAACTGTTTTAGTTATTAAAAAAGACTGCCGACTATTTCTGCTAATTTCTGTGATATCAATATGCAATGCAGTACTTCTCCGGTGATCAGAGACGCGGTACAACCAGTGGACCCACCGGAGCAGCAGCAGCAGCTACAGCAGCAGCAACAACAACAAGTGGGACCCGCCGGAAGACGAGTTGTTGTCAGGGAATTTCGAATTGCTATTGCTATTCAGATCGATTTGTGGCTTTTCATAAAATTGGCTACTGCTGTTTACATGCTTAGCCGAGATGGATCCAGGCAGAGGCTTGTTTTCCTTTCGTTTCTTGCTGTAATTTTTTACTTGTAAGTAGTTAGTTCGATTTTTTTATTTTATGTTATTTATTTACTACTATTTTCGGGACAAATTATTATAATTTTTTGTTGGCAGATACCGAACCGGAGCTCTTGCACCAATGATACGAAAACTTAAGCGAAGAATGCGAAGGGTAGTTGGGCCCCACCACCCACCACAAAGGGCTGCTTTTCGAGCAAACAATTTACCTGCTGACGTGGTACGCGGAGATGTAAATGCTGGCGTAGCAGGTAAAAAAACAAAAGCACACACGATTATCTGGTTGTAGATATCTTGTATGCATGCATGTATTCGCTCTGTTATTAACCTCTCTTGCTCGTTTTTTTTTTCTGGTCTGAAAATATTATGTGATATGTGGTAGGAGGGGTAAATGAGAATAGGGCAACTGAGAATGAGCATGCAGGAGAAGCTGCGCAGGGAGAGGCGGGCAACAATCGGTTGCGGAGAATCGTGAAAGAGATTCAAATAATTGTTGTTGGTTTCGTTGCTTCACTTATTCCTGGCTTTTACAATGATTAGAATGTTAATTAAAGTCGAATTATGTATTTACGTAGCAATAGGATGTTTGTATGGATGTGATTGAACTGTTATAAATGCTTTTGCTGTCTTAACTGTGGTAAGATGAATGTGATTAAGACTGGTTTTGTATGCTTATTTAATGATGATGATTATTATTAGTGGTAGTATTATGATTATTATTTATTTATTATTCTTTTTATTTTTTTTATTTTACTTTTGGGCTGATGATTTGCAGATGAATTGATCAATTGATCACTGAATAATGCTAATTACACATCTCTTACCAATAGTGTTCATATTACCTGGATCAAGAATCTCTATTTTATACAACTTACAGCAAGACAATACTTTAAAAAAAAATATCGACTAGATACGAGAAAATGCCGAAGGGGGTATCGCTTATTCCTATACTCGAAATAATTAAAATGGAAGAAATGTGCAATGATTCATGAATGAAAACACATTCTCACATCTCAGAGAGAAGATTGCTGATTTTTCTAAGCTCTTTCAGTGCAGCCATGGCTGTCACTTGCCCTTTTCCGACAATACCACCATTCTTCGATAAATTATCAACGGACCCCGCTTGCCCTCGATCCTGCTGGAACACCGACTCAATCACCTGCAGCCAATCCCAAAGAAGAAACAAAAGGAAAAGAAAAAAATTCAACAATTTTAAAATAAAATAAACCACTCATACTGCAATTGCTGTTGAGATTGATTAGTTACCTGAATATTCTCAAGCATGGATTGACCAACATTCTTCAAATTAACCATCAAGTTTTGGTCAACCGTCTTTCCTTTACCGGTGGAAGAAACAGAAATTACATCTTTCTCCTCACCATTGCAAGAAGCTTTTGCAGTATCTTCACCACCACCGCTTCTTTCCGAAGTTCCTTCACTGCCGCCACTCCTTCCGAATTTCCACAGCCACTGAAATTTTCCGGCGAGAAGTTTCCTCTCCTTAACCCCCGTCTCTAATTTCCCTACAGACTCATCATCCACCGTACATTCTGCCGGCACATCATCGGTCGGATCAGAAACCGGAGGAGGAGCAGCGGAACATACCGGAATATTCACAGACGATGACTCAGCATCTTCGTTTTCGTCAGCCAACGAGTTCGATGCAACACTACTTCTCCCTGACTCATTCTCATTATCACTACGAACACGAGTCGTTTGATCCGAGGAATTCGAACAACTTTCTTCATTCGCTGAGCTGTCACGGTTCTTCTCATCAGCAACATTTTGTTCGTCCACCTCCACAGAAATGAGGGGGCCGACATCTTCTTCCTCCGCTCCTAGCTGGCGCGCCAGGTCATTCAACAGGCTCCTCCTAACAGATGGCTTCGGAATTTTCGTTCTTGCATTTTTGTTCGAAGATGACGGTGAAGGATCGGATTCGGTTCTTGACAAACGTAGCCTTACTTTTTCAGACCAACCCTTTATTCGATTTGGTACTTGTTCTCCTGCAAGACCCTTTTTCTGCTCTTCCTCCTCGTGCAAAACCCTCCATTTCTCTTCCCAATAGCTATCGGGTACCACAGTTAGAGGAGTTTTTGGAGAAGTCGAAGTCAAATCGAGCGAAACGGTATGACTCCTGGTCACCGTTGATTTCTTGTCATCATAAATCCCACTTCGAATCGGTACTGAAATGGAATTGTTCGCATCTAAAGCTAAAGGGTGTAAAGATTTCGCCTTTGTTAGAAGTTTCGCAAGCTTTATATCGTCGGGAAAATTCAACAATCTTTGAAGACACGCAGTAGCGTTTTCGGTGGCGAGCAAAGAAGATCTCAAATTGAGTATCATCGAAACTGCGAAGGCACAAATGAACGCCCCTCTAGGCGATTCAAGAACTCCAAAGTTTGACTCAGCATCATATTTGTTCGAATTTATATTTTCATATGCAAAAATCTCGTCCCATATTAGTAGAAGATCTTCCAAAGAAAATTCGCGTCCGAACAATACTCTCAGCCAACGAAGCGCGAAGTATTGTGGCTCAACTCCTAATTCAACTAGGTGTGTGTGGAGAGACGAATCAACGTTCGAAAGTAAGTGGTAAAGTGCAGCAGAAGCTTCGATTACAGAAGGAGAGAAAAATTCTGCCATCGCAAGGGCCCCACTGGAGGGCCCACTCATTAAAGAATCGAACATGGAATATGCATCGTGCTCAATAAATTTTTCAGACAGGACAATACCGAGTTCACCTTCTGCACCATAGGCATCGCTGAGCAGAACAATGGTTTGTATCTCTTGATCCAATTCACCAAGATTGCTAGGTTTGGAGGAACCGTTTTCGAATCGTTTGTCATCTTCTGAAGATTCGGAGAATTTCTTGAAATCGAATTTGTATGTCAAGTCGTTCTCGTGGAATGAGAAGCCGTCGAATTTGTCCACGAAATGGTCGTCGTAATTTTTCCTCACTTCCGAGAGGCGTTCGACGTCAACGTGAAGAACGTACAACAGGGGAGCCAAGAGTTCATGCATTCCTGTAAATAAAAATGGGACGAAATATATAAGTAGAGAATTTTAACAATTTAGACTTTCTGAAGAAAACAGCCCTAAGCAAGAAAAAAATGGCGCCAGTTTCAGAAATACCGTAATACATAAACTTGTGTGATGAATGACTGAAGCAAAATGACCATTATAATAGAATAACAAAGAATTATAATACAAACCTACCTTGTCTGTATCCATACTCAGGGTTTCTAAGGCACCAAAGCAATAAAATACGTCTTAACATGGCTTGGCATCCACTTGTCTGGAAATAGCTGCCTCTTTCAGGGTACAACCGTGTCAGGTCTTGATCGAGCGTTCTCTCTAGTTCTGCACTTCTGAAGAATCGGCCCCACATACTGTCTGCGAGATCAAAATGAAACACCTTAGACATATAAGCTATAGCAATTAGAATTTGTAAACTCAACCATCGTTAAATGTTGTTCTAGACAAGAATCGAATTTGTGGAAGTCACGTACAAGATTACCAAATCAAAGAAAAATAAATGAAGTGAAAGTTCGATGTTACGATGAGCATACAAAGCAGCATCAATTGAAGTAAATAACTCTTTATTCCAAGCATTTGTAAGATCAGGGTCAAAAGAATCGGAAGGTGACGATGCATGTAAAAGGAAATATGAAAAGCATAAAAATCGTACCAGGGTTTTGGGAGAGTGGATTGTCCATGACAAGATCGGGAGAAGTATTTCCATCTTTCGGCACATGTGGATCAACCAGAAGCCGTCTTCTTAAAGCAGCATACCTGTTTAAAATCACAAAATAAGTCCCGATTTCGTTGAAATTTTCAAGGGATTTTTCCACCAACTTGATATGGTTCAAGTTTTATATGTCAATTAGATAACTCAGCCAACATAAGAACTAAAGCAACATACCATGTATTACTGATTTAGGTTTCAACACTTGGGAAAACACGAAAAAGTCGGAATACATCTCCATCCAAAATGAAGTGCTTACCACAACCAGATAATTGGAAAATAAACAAATCCAAAGTTGAACAATCCAACAATTGTATATGACAACTTCTTGACAAGGAATATGATTTCATTATTCGAGGAAAAACATTACATCTTCGACCAGAAAAAAAACCATGGGAAAAAAAAAAAAACCCAAAATTGAAGAGTGAATAAGATTTACCTTCTCCGAGAATTGGCGGTAACACGGCGAAGATCGTCAATGGATGCAGAAGGGGAAGATGGCAAAATCCCCAAATCCACGCGCCATTGGACACCTCTAAGATCACCAAAGCGACGAGAACCTCCAGAAAACGACGCCGTTTCGGGCAATGCTGTATTTGTTGACATGTTTTGTCTAATCTTCTTCGATTGAAATTCAGCTGGAAATTGCTAGAATCCCCGAATACCTAGTTGGCCAAAACCATCAAGATCGTCCTTTTTATTGTTGAATCGAAATAGCTAGAGCTCAATAATTGGAATGTGTAATTGAGAAACAACAGATCGAGTAGCAGAAGAAACAAAATCAATTATGCGAGGGCAAAAAGGTTTTGGGCTGCGAAGAAAGAAGAAATATATTTCTATATATCAGTAGAAATACAGAAATCTAGAGAGAGAAAGAAGTCGTAGAAATCTGTGAACGTGATTTTTTCCTTCAAATCATATTAGCATGATATTATCTAATCAACCAATCAATCTTCTCTTTTTCCAGGAATATTTCTCCTTTTTCTAGAGAGAGAAACAAGAGAGAGAGAGAGAGAGAGAGAGAGAGAGAAATAGAAAGTTTGTTTTTCTTGGGTTAAAGAAAGAAAAAAAAAAAAAGCTAATTGTGGAATGTGGAGCGCTTTGGTGTGTTTATGTTTGCAACTTGTTAATGGCATTAATACTTCTGTTTGTTTGGTTGTCAGGATAAAATTAAATAATTTAATAAAAATCTAATTAATTTATTGTATTTTGGGATGTCCAATAAAAAGAATTTTTAGAAAGCAAAATAAGACATAATAATGTAGTATTTTTGGGTTGATCCACAAAGTTATTGGATTTACTAAACATCAAACGATATTTAATTATTCAGTTAATCATAATTAATCTCCTAATCGAAGGAGGTCTAAATAATCATAGTACATTTAAAATTATGCAATCATCATCTATTTTTATATCTTTGATTGGATTACTTTGTAGTTATAAAGTAGTTAAAAGGCTAATATATTTATCTGAAATGCTATTCATAGTGCGGTTTTTACCGGCTTGCAGTGCGATTTATTTCATTTGTAACTTTCCTAAAAAAAAACCAAATTCGCCCGCTATTTCGTGTATTATTACACGAAATCCACTCAATAATTTCGTGTCTTTTCACACGAAATAGCGGTGTTTATTGTTATAGAAAACGAAGGACGAAACTGTTAGATTAAAAAAAATCGTGTATTTCGTGTAAACGTACACGAAATGGAAGGCCATATTTCGTGGCGTTTTCTACGAAATGGAAGAGCATATTTCGTGGAGTTTTCTACGAAATGGAAGACCATATTTCGTAGATTTTTCCACGAAATATGAAGTGACATTTCGGTAAATTCAGTACGAAATAACTAATTGATTTATTTTTTAACTAACCAATTTATTTCAGACACTCAAATTGACATAAAAATTCAAATACAAATACAAATTGAACTACAATTCAAATACAACTACAAATTGATCTAAATTTCAAATACAAAATTGACACAAAAATTCAAATACAACTACAAATTGAACTAGAATTCAAATACAACTACAAATTGATCTAAATTTCAAATACAAAATTGACCTAAAAATTCAAATACAAATACAAATTGAACTAGAATTCAAATGCAACTACAAATTGAACTAGAATTCAAATACAACTACAAATTGAACTAGAATTCAAATACAACTACAAATTGATCTAAATTTCAAATACGAATAAAATTGAACTAGATTTGATCTAAATTTCAAATACAACTACAAATTGATCTAAATTTCAAATACGAATAAAATTGAACTAGATTTCAGATACAACTACAAAAATTTTTAGCTCTATGGTGTACCCATGCCGGATGGATTGGTGGTAGTGGACTATTTGCGACCAAATTAACAAACATGAAATGATTGTTGTGCAATGTCACAACAATCATACATGATAAGTGACCACTGCCAAACATAGGAAGGTAAGTCATACTCCCTACTTGAGTCAAAAGTACCACTAATGCACTGTATCTGGTAGCAATGGCCAATCCCATTTCATTCATGTCCATCCAATAAGCTTGTGGACAAGGCCCTGAGGTCTAGTCACACTTGCGTATGACCTCAACGTATCCGGTACTGCCAAACATCGCCGTGTAGACACTAGCATGCTCGTATAACTCAATAAGCAACTCCCCTCTCACTTGCGGCCATCTTTCTTGATCCCCGTACACGGCTTGAGCAACGCACCGATACCCACAGTTGCCATCCGCCATCACGTTAACATAATCTTGAATAAGACGGACCATAAATCTGGGCACGAAAGAATAAAAGTCGATTCCTTCATGTGCAGGTATTGGAGGGGCAGCAGATTCTTGTGTGGGAATACGAGAACCACGACCTTTCATCTTCGATTGAGGCGTTCCATCAGTGCTTCTCTCAACCTTTGTTTTAGGAATCTTTGCACCAGATGAGGTTTGGCGACCCTTGGAACCACAAGACGACTTAATTGTCTCCTCATCAATATGATACTGCCATCCAGAAGGGTCTCTCTTTGTCGAGTTATTCTTTGGTCGTCCTTTGGTCTTAACAAATGATGGCTCGGACAGATGCGACGTAGACGGATAAACGATGCCACGCAATGAGGCCACGGCATTTATCTTACTCGTGTAATTCATCTTCTTCAAATTGCAATTCAGGTCATCAATCTGTCTATCCACAATCTCCTCGCGGTTTACTTGATACTCAGGTAGCTCCGAAGGCTCAACTGCCATGGTACTCCAGAATGGATGCAAGTCTGAAATGACGAACGTGTCATTATCTTCCATTTTCTGCACAATTTTGCACGCGCATGGGAGCCCATGAGTATTCCAAAGATAGTGTGTGCAAATACTCGGATCTTGCATCGCCGGGGACTCCATCTCTTCATCCAATTTCTCTAATGCCAGATGCGTAACATAACAAATCAAACCCTGAAAACACGGCCATGCTGCAGTATGCTTCCTTATCTTGGATGATAATGAAAAATCGCACTTCAGCTCACTAATTTGGATATAAACTTGGTCCCGAAGTTTGCCTTGCACGTTATCCAGACCTCCGGTCGAAGCATTTAACCAACCCTTCGCTGAAGAATGAGCGCTCTCCACCCTATCCAATTACAACAACAATCAGAGCATACAACGACAATCAAATTACAAAATAAATATTATTTTTATATAATATCTTTTATCATTTAAATAACTAAAACATGTAATACCTGTTGGTGCTCGTGTTGCCAAAATGATACACATTGCGAGTATAGGCACGAACAAACTTCTCCTTGTATATCAACCACGTATCATTCAAATACTGTATCAGCCTAGGATACCCTGCATACCGTCCAACAATTTCATTGTAATTGTAATGATACTCTTCTTCGGTTTCTGATTTCACCAGCTTAGCCCACAGCACACGTCGGAATATTAGACCTTGGTCCTTGTTGCCTCCCATAAATTTCGTCGCATTTGCCTCAACATTTCTGTTTATATGGAATATACACAACATATGATACGAAAATGGGAAGACATTTGGCAGTGCTTTCAAAAGACCCAACTCTCTGTCTGTCAAGATCGCATCAGGTTCGACACCATCTAGCAACTCTTTCAAACAATTCAAAGTCCACTCGTAGGTGTCTGCATCTTCATGCGACATAAATGCAACAGCAATTGTATAATTCCTCCCAACTGGAGTTATCCCAATTATTTCCAAAAGAGGCATTCCATACCTACAACAATGTTGTTTTTACATATTTAAACAATACAAGACATTAAAACACAATAATCATAATTTGAACAATCGTAATTTTTACTTACTTATTGGTTTTGTATGTGCAGTCCATCAATATAACATACGGGAACAACCGTAATAACTTAATAGATTCGGGACATGCAAACATAATATCTGTAATCGTGTTGCTCGTTTCACTATCGACGCGATGCCAATATCGATACTCGCCTTTTTGAAAGTTATGCATCATAAACTGAATAACAGTCATGCCCTCCATTTCCTCAGATTTAATCTTGGCCAACTCATTGTAAACATGCTTCATAGAGGTTTGTATCGTCGGATCATCTTTTCTCAGTCTATCCATGATCAGCATTGGCTTCACGTGAGAATTTCGCAATTCTTTAATTCTTGCTTTCTGTTGTGGAGTTATACGACTAGTCGTACCTTGTCCGTGAGGAAACAAAGTCGGACGATGACTATGCCTGCCATCGCTGACAGTCAACCGCCATAATTCATCAAACCTTGACCTTTGCCAATTCCCCCAATTCCTTCAATTATGCAAGCAATTAACCCGGATTATTAACCTGAGATGCTAAAATAATCATAACCCGCTTCCGCGTGTGTTACAATTCTAATACTCTAGATTCAATTACTATATTCCTATGCAATTAATTCTAGAACACAGCATTAAGCACAAATCTCAATAATGGCTACCTAAGAGATTAACTATATTCCTATGTTAATACCACAAAGGCTCTTCTACCACAGTTCTAATTATTAACCCGATCTTCCGATTCATGCGATTAACAATAACAT